TATCTTACACATACAATATACTTCTCTGGCATGACATACTGATACATCAAGTCAGATGTATCTGGCAACAAATGTATAAAAAGACAAAATGGATCACCTGAGGCTTAGACACCCAATTTATTTCACCTGATTCTATTTATGAAATGTCTGGTGGAAACCGAAGTGTCCGAAGTGTCAGAAATACCCTTGCAAGACATCATGACTCTACCTAAAGATGTTCCCTTCAATTTAAGACCAAGTGTAAAATACATAATTGGTCAATTTGATCTACTGTATAATTACTGTAGTCTGTATTGTACTGTAATTAACCACCACTACATATGAGGAGCTCCGGACCATAATCTGCTAAGTGCCAAATAGAAAATGGAGGAAAATGCTCAGGGAGGAATGTGTGACATACAACAGTCTTTTCAGACTTACCAAGGGGAGAGAGGAGAGGTTAGGGAATACATTGCAATATATTACACATTTCAGTGACATATGGCTCTTAGCAGGTTATGGTCCGGAGCTCCTCATATACTATACTACAATCTATATGCACAGCTTTGCACAACAGTTCTATAATATTCACCTTCTATAAAGTACAATATAACTACTAGTAGTACAGCAGTACAATGATCTGTACTATGATCTATAACCACAATTCTACTTTGATCTATAACAACAATGTACCATACTATGATCTAAAACCAACACTTTACACTATATAATTTACTGAATATATCATTTTGTACACAGACTGTAGCCATTACTATGTACAGTATTCTTTACTTTTAAAGTTGATGAATTCCAGTTTTGAACACAGAGGGAGTCACAACTTAATGCCTTATACGGTATACAGTCTTGAAATGTGCAACATTAAATTAAATGACACACACACACACACAAAAAAAAAGGAAAAAATAATGTAAATTAAGATTTTTGATCGTGGGAAAATGTATTTACCTCATACAATGATGAAAAAAATCAATTAGGGTCAAACAAACTGTTGAATATTCATGAATGAGGCGAAAATTACTTAAGGTCATCATCATCATTTTGCAGCCACTAATGGCAGTTCTCCATGCTGCTGTAGTCTCTTCTTTTGAGGTTCTTATCTCCGAGGTAATTTCTTACAATCTCTTCCTCTGTTATTCTTGGACTACCATACTTCTCCCCGCCAAATTCACTCGTGCCATCTCACTTTGCCTCTACACATTACATTGTTCATCTATCTTATCATTCTCATTTCACCTCACTCAAGCCTACATACAGTATGTCATCCCCTTTAACTGCCATTGTTTTACTACCATATAACCTCACACTGCTTCTGCTGGATGTGTAAATCTTTACTTTCACACGAAGAGAAGGTCCTCTTGCCATCAGTAGAAGTACTGTAGCAGCTCCCTAACCTTCCTCTGGCCACTTCAGACTTATGCAATTGAGCTAGCTTCAGCACTATTGATTTCACCCAGGTGTCAGAACACACTGACACAGTCCAGGGGTATATCCCCAATACTGACTTTCTCCAACCTTGCTAAGATCACATGATTACCTGCACATAATGTGCACTTTCACTGCTCATTTTTTAGTTACTGCCAACACCTTTCTTTCAGACAACGCATGACCATTTTCCACTTTCCACCACAGGTTCTTCGCCCACACCACAGGTACTTTTGTTTTTGCCACATTCATTGTCATACCCTTTCACTCTATTCCATCATTACATCTTTATTAAAACAATTATTTTAGTGTTCACCACAAGGAAATTAAAAATGTTGAAGTAAAAAGCAAAAGTTTGACAACTTGTCTTGAAGTGTTTAAATTCCTGGTTAGCAGCTTTAACAAACAACAAAAAATTTCAAAAAAACTTATTAAGAATAAGATAAAGTGACTTCTCTGTCAAGAAGCTGTAGCCTGACTCACCCAGCAGTCCAAACACAGCAGATGAGAGAGCAAAATGCACACCCTTGCTCCTATACTGTACACAGCATTACAGTAATGATGTCACAGACATAAAGCTTATTTCACCTTAAAAAATCGTCAATACTAGCTGGTTTGCAAAGATAATAAGGTTTTATTTAACTTCCTTTGTTATTTAATAAGAAATAAGAGAATTACAAAATATAAATTGCTTATGGCTATCTGTTGGCATGGTGAGCTCAGCGACTTTGTTACTGCCCGGCACTTCATACTGTACTTCATATTTTCTTAACATACTGTACATACTGAAATTGTTGTTTGCCTTTACTTCCTTTGTTAAATGTGCAACAACTAGACAATCTACTATCTTTAACAGGAAAAACAAAATAGCTCAAAAAACATTGTCAGAATAAAAACTACAGTAATGTACAGTACTGTACTGTAGTCTGAGTCATTTGGTACAATGCATCATTTAAGAGCTCGAGGAACTGGGAATTCCGGCTAACGGGGAGATTTACCCGGTATGTTAATTTAGAACTACTGTACAGTACTTCAATATTTTATCTCTTTTGGTAATTATGTAATGTTTTTCTGCAAAGCGTGACCAAAAAATTCCCCCTGAAAACAATCGCCATTCACATCGTTTTGCCTTATACAGTACATTGTATCATGTTTTCAAGGAACACATCCATCATGTAAATATAGGAGCTACTGAAATGTGTCGATAAAGACATGGTGGAGGGAATAAGAAATGTGACTAGCTCTGGGCAATGGATGGATGAGCCTCAAATACAGGCAGTCCCCAATTTATGAAGATTCCATATATGAAAACCTGAATATATATATACAGTACAGTATAGTCTCGATTTACGCGGTTGGTCATTTATGCGGCACCTGGCCAGACCAGCAATTATTAGTTACATGGTACATCCCATCATTTACGCGCGAAGCGGCGCAGGCAGGGTGCGCACTAGGTCGCCCAGTCAACAAAACATTACCGAGTTCTTCACCCGCCACCCACCACAGCCAGCCCAAGTCAGTGATAGTGAGGATATGGACTTTGAGGGGTTTGACAAAGAGGCCCTGCAAGCCTGTGGTGGATAGTGATACAGGTGAGGGCCAATAATCTGCCCTCTGCCTCGGAACCAACCCCCCATCCCCATGTGCTCAGCCATCTCTTCTACTAATGTAAGTGTTAAAAACCTAATATTATTGATATTTCTCTTAAAAATTAATTGTGTGTGCATTCCATCATAAAATTAAGATGTTGTTTTTACTACAACGTATGTATTGTGTCGGAAAAAGGGTAGTCTGGGGGTCGGCCCAGTCTCTATTTCAATTAATCCCATATGTTCTGTTATTTCGTTTACGAGTTTCTCGTTTTACGAGGACCTCCACAGGTTTAATTGACCGCGTAAACTGAGACTATATTGTACTGTAGTTAGATTAGGTTGAACTCCATATTACCATTGACCCTGTATTCACAATCTTGTAAGACATCTAAATTCACTTAGCTGCTTGTTAACTGAAGTTCATATTTTTTTTTTCTTTTTTACATAGAATAGTCTAGTAGAATATAAAATCTTTACAATATAAATACTGTACATTTATTTTATTAATGAATTGATTTACACACAGAAAAATAGTACAGAATCCTGTAGTACAATATTCTTATTTACATGTACAGGTAGACCCCAAATTATGAATGCCTGATCTTAGCATTGACTGCAGTAATATCTCCATTAGCCAGAATCCCTCTTAACCAGAACTCTCCGATAGCCAGAATTGAAATTTTCTCAGAAAATCGTTCCAAAAGCCGATTGTTTCTGGAAAATTCCGGCTTTGGTACCAATTATCCGAGGTGTACATTTTCTGAAAAATTCTGAGAAATTTTTCCCAGAAAATTCCGGGGATGAGGGATATTTTTCCGGGTTTGAGAAATGATGTAATGCACAATTTCTGGAACTTTCGAAATTTTTCCGATATACAGAAAATACCGGGGATGAGGGATTTTTTCCGGCTTTGTGAGAGTTGTCTCGTTAACCGGAAATCTCTCATTCCCGGATGTGTTCTGCACCAATTGTTCCGGCTAACAGAGATATCACTTTCACAATAGCTTTACTCAGACTTATTGTTTTCATGAACACTAAGTTAAATAGGCCTTCAGAGCCATTTTACTGTGTTTCAAGGAATATTTTTTTCATGGAATAGTATCTTCCAATATATGATGAAAATTCTGTAAGCAGAAAAAATAAGTTTAAATCATTTTTTTTTATTCAGAAATGGTTTTCAAAAACAAAACCCTTTTGTTATAATGGGGTCTATCTGTATATACAGGTACATAACTTTACCCACGCTTTACCATATAGCAAACCAGGCATGTATGACTGCATTAACTAAAGTTAAAAATTTATACAGTACAGTACTGTATACAAGAATACCCAGGTTATCGCAAGGGATGCTTTCCTAAAAATCATTGCGAATAACAAATTTGCAAATATCGGGGCAATTTGACCCCATGAGAATTAATATAAATATGGGGGATACATATTCAGCCAGCAACTTTCACCACATATTTATCAATATACAGTATAGGTAAAGCTCTATTTCCGATATCCCAATCTACGATAATTCGTGTTAACGATGCTGATATATTAATACCGCTTCCCTCACATGCCCAATCATATAGATTTTTTTTTTAAATACATATACTTATTTAACCAATATTTTAGATAAATTATTCAGGAGTATTTTAGTACAAAAATGGTGTTTTTAACTCAATTAAATTTTTTTTATAGACTCGGGTATCAACATTTCTTATGCTTTTTCATAATAGAAACGAGTCACCCATCATTATTTTGTGTCAAAATATTTTGTTTAACGAACTTTTATTGGAAACATCTAATAGAGAATTTATTCAGAATCATTATGGTGTCAAATTCATCTCTCTAACACAATTAGAAAAGATACTGTAAACAAAAGTTTATAAAGGACATTTTCTTGCTAGGGTAAAGGAGGTGGTGGTGGGATTGAGTGACAGAGGGAGGGGGTGGGGAAGTTTCCCTTGGAGGGAGAAACTGACCACACAGGCACCCCACCTGCAAGGGTCTGTCCCTCCATAAATATATTTGGTACTTAACTTTCATCTTTATTCAAGATATCTTCAGGTCATGAGACCCTCTAATCCCCCACCCTGACAAAGGGTGACCTGACATTGCATGAGACCTCTAATCCCCCACCCCACCCCCAAATTTGAAATTGTCTGGCAAGCATTTTGCTCATCATCTCTAAGGCCAAGATGAAGGATACACCTCCAGTACCCAGTCCTTAAACTCCCTAAAATCTGTGTGGGACTCAGGTTGATGTCTCCACTCCACCTTAAGAGCTGCGTCTAGCCCACCCAGTTTGAAATATTACAGTAGGGTATCATAATTTTTCACCTGCAAATAAGTAGGGAATGCTTTGCAAATATTGAATAGGACGTTAAAATGCCAATTGCGGATAAGCAGGGTTGCGAATAGTGAGGTACTCCTGTATAGGAAAATTGGTAAGGAGGATAAATTATTATTTCTGTTTTAATCACAAAATTCACACAAAAAAGTTTGATGAGAATATACTTGATTAATTCATTCTTTATGAACTAAACATTGTACTGGAAGGAAGTTAATGGTTCTATAAAATAAACAGCAGGTACACAAGCCCTTAATCATAAAACTCATGAAAATAAAAGCTGTAATCTTTCTAGGAAATCTGATTTTTCCTCAGCAGAAAGTTGTCTTTTCTTCTGCTCCTGACACATCAGTATGTTTAATTTTACCGATTGGAATATTTTGTTTATGAGAGCACTTTCCAAGTCAGAAGGCGGTTTAATTTGAGAAAACAAAGGAATGGTTCTAATGTATGAGGAACCTTGAGTTCTGTTATCAGCTGTGGCCTCACCAGCACTACTGGTGTCTGATTCCAAGCATTTTTCTTCTGCTAGACGTCTCTTTTGGGCTTTATAAAGTTCTTTTTCTATTGCAATTTGAATAAACCTGGAGCCAGACACTTCCATAAAGCAGTTAGCAAAAGTAACAATGAAGTTCATGTGACTATCATGGCTGGAGAAGAACCTGTTGGGGATGTTAAGACCACAACTGATAATTGGTAGTTTAATATAAGTCTGGTAGTTCTCATCTCCTTGGGCAATCTATTGGAAGAAAAATAGACATAAAATAAATGTAACGTGATTGACAGGAAACAATAATTTTCATGTGCTACCTGTGAATGAAAACCAGGAGTACTTTGTACAGTAAAAGTCCAAAAATCCGAATGCCAGAAATCCAGACAACCCGAGAATCCGTACTTTTCGAAACTTTTTTTTTTTTTTAATTTAGCGGGCTCTTGTGTGTATGTGCGCATGCGTGAATGCCAGAGCTGCACAGCGACAACAAGCGACCATGCGGTCGCCACTTTAAAACGAGCAATCAAACTGTGACAACATATGTAATTTTGAGTCCTACTCTTTCCATTTACACAGTGCTGTACAAGCCCATAATAATGGCTCCTAAAGTAGATAAACTTCGTTGTGTGAAGAGAAAGAAGAACACGTTGAAATTGAATGACAAACTTGAAATAATTAAGACACTAGATCGTGGTGTGAGCAATACTGTTCCAATGGAAACATACGACATTGGAAAGACTACAATTTATGATATATAAAAGGCAAAGAATAAAATTCTAGTATTCACAGCTTTTTCTTTAAAACTGCTCGTCTTGATAAGTGAAGCATGCTATATTTGCTACTGAATAGACTATAAAAATGTACCTGTTCATCTCTTCTTTATTCCTCCTTAAATTTGAATTTTAAAAGTACTGCCTGAGAATCAGGAAAATCCGAAAATCCGGACTGACCCAATCCCCAAGCAGTTCGGATTTTTGGACTTCTACTGTACAAAAAAGAATATCCTTAAAGTTTTCATTTTTTTTTTTTGAGATAAACCCACCCCACCATTCCTTCTGAATTACTAATATTCTACTGTAACACAAAGGCCCTAGAAGACTGGAAAAATTTTTAGTGACACACACAAAAACTAGGATATATTAAAAGGCCATAACACAGGTTACTATTGAAATAAGACTCAATATTGAATGTTAGTGAGTGAGTTAGTGAGAGACTGGTAAATGTTGGTGAGTGAGTTAGTGACAGACTGGTAAATGTTGGTGAGTGAGTTAGTGACAGACTGGTGAATGTTGGTGAGTGAGTTAGTGGCAGACTGGTGAATGTTGGTGAGTGAGTTAGTGACAGACTGGTAAATGTTGGTGAGTGAGTTAGTGACAGACTGATGAATGTTGGTGAGTGAGTTAGTAACAGACTGGTGAATGTTGGTGAGTGAGTTAGTGACAGACTGATGAATGTTGGTGAGTGAGTTAGTGACAGACTGATGAATGTTGGTGAGTGAGTTAGTGGCAGACTGGTGAATGTTGGTGAGTGAGTTAGTGACAGACTGGTAAATGTTGGTGAGTGAGTTAGTGACAGACTGATGAATGTTGGTGAGTGAGTTAGTAACAGACTGGTGAATGTTGGTGAGTGAGTTAGTGACAAACTGGTGAATGTTGGTGAGTGAGTTAGTAACAGACTGGTGAATGTTGGTGAGTGAGTTAGTGACAGACTGATGAATGTTGGTGAGTGAGTTAGTAACAGACTGGTGAATGTTGGTGAGTGAGTTAGTGACAGACTGGTGATGTTGGTGAGTGAGTTAGTAACAGACTGGTGAATGTTGGAGAGTGAGTTAGTGACAGACTGGTGAATGTTGGTGAGTGAGTTAGTGACAGACTGATGAATGTTGGTGAGTGAGTTAGTGACAGACTGGTGAATGTTGGTGAGTGATTAGTGACAGACTGGTGAATGTTGGTGAGTGAGTTAGTGACAGACTGGTGAATGTTGGTGAGTGAGTTAATGTTAGACTGGTGAATGTTGGTGAGTGAGTTAATGTTAGACTGGTGAATGTTGGTGAGTTAGTGACAGACTGATGAATGTTGGTGAGTGAGTTAGTGACAGACTGGTGAATGTTAGTGAGTAAGTGAATCATCATTAACTGAAGTATGAAATCGTATGTTAAGACTGAAGGGAAGAAACAAACAAGTTAGTTGCGTCAACCATTCCAGTGAAACACCCACTGGGTAAGCCTGTCTTTGCCAGAGAGTCTGATATATTTAGTGCACAACACTCTCTCGATGCTGATGGTGTTTTCATTGTAAGGAGACTTCTTACCAAATGGAATCAGAGTTGGATTAAGATTCAATCCCATCTGGTTGGGTGGTTTTCTCATGATCTGGGACTCCAAAGTACTATGTTCAAAACCAAATACAGTAATACAGAACACAAGCAAGAATACAGATACAGCAAAACCTGGATAAATTGGACTTCAGTATATCGGAATTCACTTTTTCAGACTCTGAGATGCTTTGGTTACCAGTAATACTAATAAAAAAAATAAAATAAAAAAAAGGGGGGAGGGGGAGACATTAACAAAAAAATATCTTCGGATATGAACAACACTTACTCAATACTGTACAGTGGTCTAATCAGATTTGCTTTAGGCCTACTGAGAACGAAGACACTTGAGTACGTAAGTAGGCTGGGGCTGATCAGGTGTTGCCACATTCAGCAGGTTTATTTATTTATTTATTTATTATTATATTTTCATATAATTGGCCTCTTATGGTTAATGGTTCATCATGATTAATATAATATCTTTAATAATAGAGAAAAATACAATACAGAAGATATTGGAAGCATAATGTGTTGTCTATGGTAGACCCTGCTGCCACATGGCATCACGAAAATTGTGACCAAGTCCCAGGTTGCTGATCTGACTTTCTGCCTCATTTACACACAATTGCAGGGTCTCAATTGTTTCTCACTTTTGATCTTTTTTTATTTTTGTATTTCATTATGGTTCTTTATTAATATTTATATTAATATTATTATTATTATTATTACATTTTTGCCCCCCAGGCCCCGATGTGGGTCAGTGACCTGTGCCCGGGTGGGCTAATCCCTGTAAAAAAAAAAATTAAATAAATAAAATATAAATAAATAATAAAAAAAATTGTAATATGACTTGAAAATAAAAGGGGAAGCTGTATCAGTAGGTTATTTTTTCAAGATGCATTCATGTGAGAGCTTTCAGCAGACTAGCTTACAATAGGGGTCACTATAACACACTGTATAGTATTAGATATGAAGATACCTTCTTAAAAATGTCATTTACTACCTTTGAGTGTTGTATGATGACTCAATTTGGCGACTTGTACACTAAGACAAATGATTGATGAAAAAACCAGGGTATATGCAGATAGATAATACTTTACAGTACAATATTACTTATTAAGTGATGATAAATACACTACAATAGTATTTATTAAGTGATGAAAAATACACTACAATAGTATTCATTAAGTGATGATAAATACACTACAGTAATATATATTGAATGGTGACAAATACACTGCAATAGTATTTATTAAGTGATGAAAAATACACGACTATACTGTACTAATTTACTAAGTGTTGAAGACAGACATTGTGGTAAGCCAATCAGCTGTTTGCCCTTTGCAAACAAATGACTCATGGTGTTCAGTGTGGGATTCTTTTTTTCAGGAAAGCTGATTCCTTTATGATAATATATTATCAACTTGGCACCAAATGATCCTAAATTATATGAGAATTATGGAAGAAAGGGGGAAGCCACCCACCCATGCCACACCCCTTCCCCTCTGCCAGCTGCTCCCAGATAAACACTCATCTTCCACACACAATATACTCCTTCTGTTTCATATTTTTTTTATTGTTGATGCAATATTCTTTTAATAACCTTGTTATACACTTAAAGACCTTAGTTGTTGAAGTTCAGTAATAACATAACAACAACTGATTTTGTTTAAACAGTTCAGATAAGCAGTGTTATCTCCAACTCCCCCCCTCCCCTGCGCCCCATATATTAGCTTTTTTTGGACTTTCGCATTTTTCAGACTGGGGTCTGCCCTAATTAGTCCGATTTATCGAGGTTCTGCTGTAATATGCTCCTGCAGTATCTGAAACAAATTTGGCTTATCTGAAGAACATGATGAATGCATTACTTTTTTTAAACTTTTACAAAATAATGTTCATGTGAAATAACAAAAAAAAATTTAGTCTTACCGAGATTGGAGATTTTTCCTGGTAAGATCTCAACAAGTGTCGCATTTCATTATTACTCGCAAAGTCCCTGGGAGTTTTACCATCTTTTGTTTCAAGTTTTAGTAAGCCAGCACCTGTAAGTTATTATATGTCACTTAACATCCTTAACAAATAAATAAACAAAAAGATCATTCATCTATTACTTCTACTCATTACAACTTAGCCATTTAACCTCTAACCACATGTGTACAGGACCCCCTCTGTGCTGAATAAAATTGTCCAGCCACCATCCCAACCGCTAACTTCTACAGATAGTAATGGTCACTATCCCGACAGCTAACTTCCACAGATGATGGTCACTGCCCCTACATCTGTAGTATTCTCTCTATATATCTAATATACTATAGGACTAGCCGTGTGGCTGTCTGTCTGTCTGTCTGTCTGTTCTGGACAGCCGAAACGGCACAATCGTTTTTCATCAAACTTGGTGGAAAAATTGCAAAAAATTCGTAGAATGGAACAAACCTGGTCCCATGTTGATGGTTTCTTTAGGAAGGCATTAATTAACCATTTTATTTACGATGGAAAACGATGCAAGTCTACGGACTTGGTGACCCCTTATTAACCATGCAAGTAGACTTGGCGCACCCTCATTCGCTGTACGCTAGCCAAGCATGAGCGTTCGAACTTTCACTGGGCACGAAGGTGCCCGCGATCACTTGTCTTCTCTATAAGCACCTTCATCACCCTAGCCATCACTATTCACAATCATTTCCCATAATGTTGTCACCTTCATCACCCTAGCCATCACTATTCACAATCATTTCCCATAATGTTGTCACCTTCATCATCCTAGCCATCACTATTCACAATCATTTCCCATAATGTTGTCACCTTCATCACCCTAGCCATCACTATTAACTATCATTCCCCAGCAATAAATGGATTACATGGTTTGCATCTGTTTGATTGTTTTTTTGTTTTGTTTTTGGTATATCTTTTCCATCTATATTTTACTGAATACCTCCATTTAAATAAACTTTATCTGAAAACCATCTACTTTCATATTTGACAAGCTCTTTCTTTTGATGTACAACCACTAAAAAATTATTCGGCACCCGTGTCATATTGTATCATGCCATAAGGGTGCCGAATAATTGTTTAGTGGGTGTACATTTCCAAACTCTTACCTCCATAGTCCAGAAGTAACTTGACTGTGCTGAAATGGTTGTACTGCACTGCATCATGCAATGGAGTTCTTTTGTCTTCTCCACCCCTAGCATGGGTGTTCAAGGTGTGGGTATGCCGAACTGAAAGCAAGATTATATATTGTAAAAATAAAAATTATCAGCAGAGAAATTTGACTGCTCTGGAAAAAAGACTGTGAAGGCACTTTGTAAGGAGCATATACAGTACAGTATCTCAAAAAAGTATCTGCCAGGATGAGTCCAATTACATACGAAATGCTACATGCAACTCGTGGTGATATGGGAGAGTTGGTATGTGTGGCTCTCTGGTATACTGATCCTACTACATTTGGTAATCAAACATCACATTGTTTAAGCTGAAATAAATACACATTGTATTACTTATGTTAAACTACATATCAGAGTTAATGCATGTCCTTCCCTGCTGCCACATGGCATCACGAAAATTGTGACCATGTCCCAGGTTGCTGTTCTGACTTTCTGCCTCATTTACACACAATTGCAGGGTCTCAATTGTTTCTCTTACTTTGACAACACAACACCCATATATCATTTCTCACTCTTGATATATATTTTTTTTTATGACTCATTATTATTATTATTATTATTATTATTATTATTATTATTTTAACAAATTAATAATTTTTATGATTACTATTATTTTACTTTATTAAAATTTTTATTATTATTTTTATTTTTTTATTAATTTTATTACGGTACTATTATTATTATTATCATCATATCATAATTGTTATTATTATATTTTTACCCCCCCCCAGGCCTCGATGTGGGTCATTAAAAATTACCTGTGCCCAGGTGGGTTACCTAATGCCCATTAAAAAAAAAAAAAAAAAAAACGGAATTCTACGTTTCCGGAACTTTCCTATAGCCTGAATTGATGCACAATTTCTGAAACATTCCAAGAAAATCTCTCCAAACCTTTCTGCTCCAGGGCTGGGGACAAAGGTTTCAGGAGTTCCGAAAAATTGCATCATACTCTGCCGCATACCCACGTGCTGGGTGCATGGGTTGGCTAATTCACATTCTGCTGCCATTGTAGAAGGTTGTTCCATTGCTAGCTGCTGTTTTTGCATACAATTTGTGCCATGCAGTACTGTACATACTTTGTTATTGTACCAGGACACAATATGCCAGGAACAGAGAGTTAAAACATAAACCTAACCTAGCCTAAATGCCCTATATACTTCCTCTTCTGTATAACCCATAAATGATGGCTAGCATTTTAAGTAGAGTATATATTGTCTTTAATGGGGATAGTGTACAGTGGTCTTTTCAGATTTGATCTAGGCCTAACGATAGCTAATAAATGATATGACACTTGATGTGTGGGACTGGCCGTGCCACAATCAAAAGTTTGTTTTTATTTTGATTATTATACATTATTCTCTTATTATCGGTCTATTATGGTTATGTTTCATCATAAATAACATACAGTATTAAAGAGAAAATATGATACAGTGGTATATAATTTGACTTCAAAATAAAAGACAAGCTGAATAACAAGGGAAGAGGTTCCCTAACCAATAACCTTCTCCCCATGTTTTGGAGGTGAGGGGTGGGACTGGCCTTGCTGTATTTGATAGTTTTTACTCATATGATCAGCCTCTTAAGATGCATGTTTCTTCATAAATAATATAATATATTATTTGTCATATGATTTCAAAATAAAAGGACAAACTGTATCAGAAGGTAATATCCTGCCAACTGCCATCAAGGCCAGCTTTCAACCTGAATATTATTTAGTCATTATTACATTCTAGTATGATCAGCCTCTTATGGTGTACGAATCAATGGAAATAACATTAAGTCTTCAATAAAATATAATAAATAATTTGTATTTTGACTAGAGAATAAAAGGATACAGTACATTGTATTAAAGGTGACGTCACACTTTATCATTCTCTTCTTCCCCTCACAACATAATAACCTAACAAAAAAATTAATTATGAGAGAAGTCATTTATTATGTCTGCAGATGGCTGTATTTCTCCAGTAACCATATAGAACAGATTTATAGGCATGGGACATTAACATAATGAGAGCATGCATGTGTTGACAGGCCTGCTGAATCTAAAATTTTCCATTAGCCCACAGAAAGTTCCACTAGCCCATAACTGTTTTTGAAATGTGTGGAGATACTGTAGCTCTTAAAACTCTTAATGGCAGAAACAGCGGCAAAAGCATCAGCCAGTCCTTCAGCCAGCTGGCTGAGGTGAGGAATGACGACTCAACGTGAAGTCAACAGTTCAAGACTGGTGAATAACAGTCTCAATTTATGTTTACATTCCTTAATTAATACTATTTATACTTGCTTTATAATTGTTTGTTTTCTTCCTTGCTTGACAGTCTGAACAGCAGAGATATATCAAAGGTGGAAGGGAGTTTTTGGGGGATGGCTGGTCCCAAACCTCCCGAATTAGTTCAATTATTATGGGCTTAATTGCTTCAAAAACTGTTGATTCACTATCCATTGATTTTTCACAGTTCACATATGTGTCAGTTATCAGGATATACATTACCTGTACCGTATACAGTACAGTAGTAGTACAGGTAAACTTCAAATTATGATGGGGTTACGTTCCTGAAAACCCCATTGCAAATCAAGTTCATTCTAATATGGGGTTAATGGAATATGTTCCCAGCCAATCCGACACACAAACGTATCACCAAAAAAATTCCTACACTAATAAAATAAATAGAAAAAAATTAAACAACATTCACCACATCATTTAGAGCTAGGCTGGCCACTTCACAATATCAAGCTTCACCTCCAGAGACAAGGATTTCCTGGGCGCCTTGGCCTTCCCAGACGCAGGTGTCTCAATAACACGCTTGCTAGACATTTTTACAGTTACACTACTCACTTCAGTCACAAAAACAGAGCAAAAGCACTTCCCATTAAGAAAAAAGACTGCAATCTGAATATTAGTGATGTCCTCTCACCTTAAGAAAAAAAAAACACACAAATGACAACTTAACAAAAATGATAATGGCCAACACAGCTCAAATTATATTCATGCAAAAATCACATAGTCACCAAAACAGAGTACAATCTGAACATCAGTGATATCCTCACTATAAGGGAAAAATAAAATAAAAACCAACTGTTGATAAGTTACAATAATGATACTTACAGACCGATAATCATTGAGTTACACGATCACAGGCAGATGCATCACCATGAAACACAGCGCAGGACTGTAGTGTGCCGGGTGACCACATAGTGAAGCGTGGGTAGAAGACACTGTGGCTAACAAGTGCAGCAAGAGATGCGTTCCCTATTCCACATGTCATTGAGTTGGGCCGTACGATGGCCATCGCTAATGTGAATTTTTTTTTCTATCTTAAATAGGAAGGTGGTCTTAAAACATCACCATTGTTAAAGCAAAATATTGTAAACACAGATCATAAATTGAGGTTCACCTGTATTGCATAAATTATTTTGTTTACTCACAATACAGTATATTATACATATACAGAGGTGTTTGTGTAAATAAATATAGCTCATAGTCTGTCTGTGCAAGATGCGTAGTTTAGACTCTCGGAAAACTTTTCCCATTGCAGTAGGGTCAGGATATATCGCGAGATAGGGTCCAAAGAAGGCTAAGTCTACCATGTGGTGTATCCATACTAACCCTAACAAGCCATCAAGTCCTTGGGACCCATTTTTCACATTTTATTATATACAAAAGTAAGATTGTTTATAAAGTCAAGAAAGCAGTACACCTATCAAAGGTAGGTAAGAAGATCATGCAGTTTTAGTTCTTAATCATACATGGAGCTGACAAAAAGAATTTCCTGCGGAGAAAAATTATTTACCGAGTGAGAAATTGATTAAGATAAGTGTAAGAAACAAAAAAAACAGTGACAGTCATGAAGATGAACAAAATACAGTGACTCATACCTCGCCTCACATAGGAGTAAAGACTGTTTTTTTGCCCAAGATTATCGCTACAGTTATAAGTCAGTAGCATCTTCACACATTCATCATAACCACGTATGGCTGCTTCATGCAAGGCTGTCCAACCTAGGTTATCACTCAGGTTGATGTCAATGCCAGGCACAGCAAGAAGGTCGAGCATCCGATCCACATTGTTCTTAATGCAAGCCCGAATGAGGGGTGTTTCTCCTGTTAGGTAAAAGTTGATGTTGGTTGGAGTTTGCTTATAAAAAACAAAAACAAAAGTGGGGGTGCAAGCAAACAGTTTGAATTTCAGTAACTGCAACAAGAATTACAATAAATATTTACACTCATAAAATAAACAGAAACAAACAAGACATCTTAACACACTTGGGATCTTCATAAGCTTTTATGGCTGAACTTCACACATACTGTATATATATATATATATATATATATATATATATATATATATATATATATATATATATATATATATATATATATATATATATATATATATATATATATATATATATATATATATATAAAACAGTATATGGATATGAAGATCCCAAGGGTGTTAAAAAGTTAGGCAGGTGAGGTGGGGTAAGAGTTTGTTCATGTTGGCTGTTACAAGTACTGTCCTGTATAAATGAAGCATCCTTTCACTAAGACCTTTTTAAACATGGGGTACTGTACTTGAAAACTTTATATCATCTTCATGTAGATAACATGCAGTATTCAGATATAACTTTGAAAATTATATGCATACAGGTGGTCCCTGACTTATGAAGCTTCAGTTTATGAAAAATCAAAATTAAAAAATAATGTAGTAGCTCCATGCTTTGATCAATGAATGAAAATCCCAAAGTTATGAAAAATAAAAGTAATTTTCTCTTAGTACCCAGTCCAATAATAAAGATGACATGCTAAATTAATGAAGTTTTTACCAAGATGTTTACTTATTTCACTGACTCATTTCAAATTCAATAATACTCACAATGTGTAAAAGTCTACAAAGAAGCTTTCAATGAATCATAGTCTCCTTCAATCACCATATAATTTACTCCTCAAACTAACTGAAGACAAATAGACTCGGCTCCACCAGTATAGTCACTGAGCCAGTTGCCTCATTGTCCAATTTCTCCTCCATTACATAGGAAATTAAATAAAAGAAAAATTACCTGTACAGTGGTCCCTCAATTAACGAACGGTCCAATTAACGAAATTTTGGTTAACAAATTAGCTCCCATAAGGACTTTCAGTTTGAATAACGAACAAAACTTCAATTAACGAAAGCCTTATGAGAAACACGTTTTGTTGTGCGCATCAGCTGATCGGCCATTCCGCCAATATAGTAATCAGTTCTATGTTTACATTCGTTTCCAGTGAAGTAAATATCAAGAAAGTTGGTCTCTTGAATATTTCTGCATTTTTTATATTAAAATTATTGGTCATTCTGAAATTTAGTTAACATCTTGATAATATAGACAGTACATGTACAGGAACAGTTTTTGTGCACCCATCAGCTGATTGAATCACCGAACAACGCTTCTCAGATTAACTTTGTTTACAGTGGAGTGAACATCGAGTTTGTTGGCCTCTTTAATATTTTTTTGCATTTTTACATTAAAATTATTGGCCATTCTGAAATTTAGTTAACGTATTGATAATATACAGTGCAGATATTATTATGAAACATGAAAAAGGCATTAGAACCAATGCACTGTGTAAAGAATATGGCATGTCATCATCGACTGCCTCTACATTCAGCAGTTTGATATGTAAACATAGCTGCCGGAAATATGACATACACACCTCAAAGTAAGTTAAAATACAGTACAGTACTGTATTCTATTGTTTTTATATTTATTATTGTACAGTACAGTACAGTACTGTATTTAGTTTATATTTAATGTTTAGTTAATTCTATTACCGGTATACAGTACTTTGTAGTATACTTTTTCTGTGAGTTGGAACCAATTACCCAATATCCCATTGAAATAATAGATTCAGTTAACGAACGACTCTGTGGAACGAATTGTGTTCGTTAACCGAGGGACCACTGTATTCTTAAATTTCATATGCTAATTACTTAATGAAGAATGAAGGTGCATAGTTGTAAGGAAAAATGTTCATTATTGGTTAAATATTCACTCCACTGACCCCCCCTCCGAGAACAAATATTCACCCTCTTATCTCATGAATAGACTGTACAATTGCAAAGCTCCTGTGTATTAACTAAAAAATATACGTAAACCATCTTTGACATATCCACCACAATGCCTGGGGGCAGGAACTACATCAACAACCATGAGATACATGGTAGCCAAGGCTGGCCAGCTAAATGCAACGCACCAGCAATTATATACATATGAACCCCACAATCACTAGGACTCACAGACTTTGTAGGCATAGGGCAAGTGAAGTGGCAGCCTCCTCACTCTCAAGCCCACTAATAATTTGTTACTTAAATTTTAGTGTTAATATTGTTATGCTCTTCCTTTTAGAGGCACACAAATGTATATGAGCAACTGGGTGAATGAGTGAAAGACCAATGGATACTATAAACATGACATACAGACTGATTTCAGCATAGATGAGCACCAAATACCTTGTACTCCTGCCCCCACTGTGCACTGCACACCTACTGTACAATGCAAAAAAAAAAAAAAAAAAAAAAAAAAAAAGCTGAAAAACTAAATGTGATACAGTATTGCAAAGATATTCACCCAGAAGGATTAGAATACTGAATATGCAGTACAGTACTGTATACACTGATGTTTATGGCTCTTTGCAGCAACAACCATCTAATTAAACTAAAATCATTCCTTCCTTCTTCATATGGTGTGTAAATACCTCAAACTGTGCCAACAGCAGAACAAATTCTTACCAGTTATCTTGACCTTTGGCCTAACTTGTACAAAAATAAATGACCATACTGGACAGGGTGTTTTGGAAATACTGTACATTTAATAATTCTTAGGGTGTATTCCTGAGACTTACTTACATAAAGATAAGTGACTCCATGAATATAGTGTTAATACCTCACAGTTTTGGAGTTATAACACATGACAGTTGGGGATGGAATGTTAAAAATCGAAGGAGTATAAATGAAATATCCAGCGTTGCTAGAACAATTAACGGTATTTACAATTATAAGTTCAGAGTTCTGGACATAAAAAGATGCAGTGACACATACAGTACAGTCAATGTCAGGAATTCGTGATGCTGTACTGTACTGTATTGTATAGTCAGGCCAGAGGTTGAGCAGGTCGTTCCACCCGTATTTGACGGACTTGTCGCTGTGCCAAACCTTCCCACCAATACACACAGGTACACCACTGATTTTCCAGCACCCTTGGTTCCAAAGCCTTGCCAGATTATCTGGTTTTGCCGGACCAAGGAGGTTATGTAATAATAATTTAACAATACACTCAAATGTACTGTTACACTCGACTAAAAATTTTATCTCTTGTGCAAACTGTGTGATGTTTATAGTCAAATTAATCACTATATTACAGGGATTCCAGCAATGTAATTTATATTCTGCTACGTCTAGTCTGCGATATTTTATAAGATAAAAACTTTAAGCCTAAACTGCCTTCACCCTGGCTGTGAGGAAGGGGGGTGAGTGTTGACAGCTGTCAAGGAGGGGAGATAACAAAGTGTGTAGTTATCAAAACAAATGGAGTTTTAGTTTTTCCCTTATAAAATGTCACTGAATTGACCTGGCAGTATATAATTTGTATTGCTGTAATTCTTGTAAGATAGTGATTATTTGAATATAAACATCACATAGTTTGCACTAGACATAACATTTTTAGTAATTAACTCATTACAGGTTTACCCTTAGGACAATTATTTCTTTTCCTTTTTTCACAATATATATATCTAGGATGGTGCGTGCATGTAAATGACAAAAAATAAATGAAGAAAGTTACATATATCTTCCCAAAAATATGAGTTAAAAAACTTGTACAGAAATGTACTACACTAGACTAAAATTTCTATCTCTTGTGCAAACTACCCGGTATGTGATGTTTATACTCAAATTAACCACTATCTTACAAGGATTCCAGCAATGCAATTTATATTCTGCTATGTCTAGTCAGCTACATTTCATAAGATAAAAACTTTAAGCCTAAAACTAGCTTCACCCAGGCTGGGAGGGAGGGAGGGAAGTTAAATGCCCTCTCATAATTTTGTCCGGACTAAAGGAGGTGCCGGACCATCAGTTCCCGGAAAACATGTGTTGTATCTGTACTGTACTTGAATCATCTAACAAGCATTGTGAGGGACACTACTGTTTGAGTTAATGTAAGAGGTTTATACATTGTAATTGTGAATGATCATTCAGATTACTGAATACTTACAAAAATCAATAGGCATTACTTTCAGCAAATATTATTTACAAACTTCTAACAGCGGTGGTTTGAGGCAATGAACTGCTACTCCTCACAACAAGGTCGGCCCTAGGCATAGGCGGACTAGGCGACGACCTCGGGTCCGAAGCATCAAGAAGCCCCCTGATGCCTCCTTCAGTAATAAAGTTCAAAAGCGCTGAGGCTGGGTGCAAATTTTTCAGTTATCTGCCATGTTAAATACTGTACCCTATAACAAATATTTGCTCCTAATAAAGCATTACACTACTACCCAATGACATAATGCTATACAAAATTATTACATGTTTCCGTTTCCTCGAATGTAAAGACATTCCATTTCTGTTGTTTGAAACTAGTCAGTGCTATTTTTGTATTTAGTGCAAACATTTAGATCAATCTTTAATTAATAACATGGGGAAAGGGCTGACTAGAATGATGGTGTCCATTAACCTAATATTCATCCCAAATTAAACATTGTCATACACTATTCACTTATAAAGCTTGGACAATACTCCTCATAATTTTGGAAATCATTGCTGATGTTATATGTTTGATGAAAATTCTTTTTTTTAAAGGGAAGAGATGTAATACCCAGTGCCAGTATTCTGATAAGTAAACAGTATATTGTCGCAAAATTTACGGTAGATTTCTAGTATGCAGTGCATGATGAGGAGCTCATCCTAGCAGCAATGGATATTACATTTATACTGTCCAGATTTTATCACATTCCAAACCAAGTTGTCGTGATATGTTATAAATCACTAACTATGGAGTATTGACACTGGTCATGAAGTAATTTATCATTATGTATGTCTCAGGAATACAGCCCCGGATTTATGAAATGTATTTCCAAAACACCCTGTGTGACTGGACGTCCTTCAAACCAGGTGACACATATACAGCATTATGCAGCTCACTAAACCCACATACTAAGGCTGTAAGATGACAGTGTGTGTGTGTGTGTGTGTGTGTGTGTGTGATGCTAGGCTGATATATGTACTGACAGAGTGATGCTAGGCTGATGTATGTACTGACAGTGTGTGATGCTAGGCTGATATATGTACTGACAGAGTGTGATGCTAGGCTGATGTATGTACTAACAGAGTGATGCTAGGCTGATGTATGTACTAACAGAGTGTGATGCTAGGCTGATGTATGTACTAACAGAGTGTGATGCTAGGCTGATGTATGTACTGACAGTGTGTGATGCTAGGCTGATGTATGTACTAACAGAGTGATGCTAGGCTGATGTATGTACTAACAGAGTGTGATGCTAGGCTGATGTATGTACTGACAGTGTGATGCAGGCTGATGTATGTGACTGCTAGGCTGATGTATGTACTAACAGAGTGATGCTAGGCTGATGTATGTACTGACAGAGTGTGATGCTAGGCTGATGTATGTACTGACAGTGTGTGATGCTAGGCTGATGTATGTACTGACAGAGTGTGTAGGCTGATGTACTAACAGAGTGATGCTAGGCTGATGTATGTACTAACAGAGTGTGATGGCTGATGTATGTACTGACAGTGTGTGATGCTAGGCTGATATATGTACTGACAGAGTGATGCTAGGCTGATGTATGTACTGACAGTGTGTGATGCTAGGCTGATATATGTACTGACAGAGTGTGATGCTAGGCTGATGTATGTACTAACAGAGTGATGCTAGGCTGATGTATGTACTAACAGAGTGTGATGCTAGGCTGATGTATGTACTAACAGAGTGTGATGCTAGGCTGATGTATGTACTGACAGTGTGTGATGCTAGGCTGATGTATGTACTAACAGAGTGATGCTAGGCTGATGTATGTACTAACAGAGTGTGATGCTAGGCTGATGTATGTACTGACAGTGTGTGATGCTAGGCTCATATATACACCAACAGGGGTGAACCAGATTATCATCATTAGGCTCATCTTGGAAGGGAACACACTATCAAAAGTTTCACAACACACGAGAATGCCAGCTACCATGAATGATAACAAACAAGGGACAATTTCTGTTACTCTTGAACCTGGCTTCCCTGCACTGTTGTGGAAAAAGGCTTGATAGAATGAGAGAAAAAAAAAAAAAAAAATTGGGTCAATGTTTGCAAAGTAGCCTAAAAATGTACCATAAAACAGCAAGCAATAAGAAGTACAAATACAGGAGTCATGTGGTTATGTGTGGACTGACCAGCATTCGATTTCAACACTGCTTCAATATGACAACCTTACCCAACGGGTTTTTTTTATTGATGATTTTAGCACTGAAACGTGTCTTGCGTGTCTTGCGAGATGAAGCTGATGACCAAGACTTTGTGGACACAAATGATGAATGTTCTTTACAATGGAGCAAATTCTGAAAATATGTAGAATATTAAAACACACAAGAGGATAAGAGGCGGCATTGTTGTCAGTGTTTACACCCATAATGTCAGTTATCCACCTGAAACTGGAGAAAATAAGACCCTGGGTGTTGTTGTAAAATTAATGTAAAAAATATATATGTTTTAATTAATGTTATTTAATGTACAGTACAGTAGAAGTAACCACTGATATTAAAGAAAAAGTGAAACTGATAGTGGAACGCCAAAGTATACGTGCGCATTCGAGGAAACATAGTTATTTATCTTAAGAATACACTGTATGTACAAAAGATTCATTATTGTTTATTAATGAATATGTATTTGATTGAATTTATGTTTATATATGTGAAATGAACAATACAATTCATTAATAATATGTAGAATATTAAAACACATCAGGAGACAAGACGGCATTGTTTTCGTGAGTGACGATGGTTCTACATAAGAAACTGAAGAAAATAAGACCCTGGTTGTAGCTGTAGTGAACTTAATTTAAAAAAATTGAATACCTGTATGTGTTATTTAATGTTGATAAACAGATCACTAGAAGTAGCTAACCACTAATGGTAAAGAAATAGAGACGATTGCGAACGCTAATGTATGAACAGTAAGTGCATACATGTGAAAACATATTGTCATTTCTCTACATATGAATATGAAAGCAACACTTATTTACTGTTCATATATGTTCTAAATAATATTTACGAATGTAAAATAAAAATTCTACTCACCAATGGTAAAGTCTAAAACATAAGGACAGCCAATGAATATTGTGCGAGTTTTTACTCAGATGACGAAGTCATCAGGTTCAACTCTGGCTGAAACTGTAGCTTTCCATAAAGCTGTTGCTGAAACTGTTACTGAACCTGAATTTGGTGTAGCTGCTTATGATGCTGAATTTGATGGTGTAGCTGAAGTTGATGGTTTAGGCCTTCGAATAATAAAACTGTTGAAAGAACCTTGCACAGCTGCTTTCTTTTCTCATTATACTTCTTTATGTAGAGGTCATTTGCATTTATTTAAATTTTAATGCTTTGTCCTGTTAATGGATCAACTTCAGAAAATATGTTCATTGCTTGCTACATATAATATCCACAGACCTCTCACCTTTTTCATATCGTTTTAACACACCTAGTTTCTCGGCTAAGCTGGTATACACTTTTTATTAGCTTTTGAAACAACACTACTATCACTTACTCATGTTGAATAGAGATGCAAATATGCTGTAGGAAACCTGAGAAAGTTTTTCTCCTGTTCCTGTTCCAGATGCGTGAAAACAAAAGGCTCGCCAAGCTCCGACCGTTGTTTACCACTCATTAGCAAGGCAGCTTCTTTGCGAAAGGCGCTCTTATTTTTTTTACAGTAATTTTTTTTTATAATACATATCAGGATTTAGTTATTATTGAAATGTAATTTTATTTTGTTTTTATTATGTTTTGGTCGTAAATACGAATGAAATAAGGACGTAAATTGAATTGTGTCCTAAATTAACTAGGGTTTTAAATATGAAAAGTTGTGTCGAACCGTTGTTATCGGAGGCTTTACTGTATTTTTTTTATTACAGTACTATTATTATTATTATTATTTTTATCATCATAATTATTATCTTATTATATTCCCCCCCCCCCACCCCCAGGCCTTGATGTGGGTCATTAAAATTGACCAGTGGTCAGGTGGGCTGATGCCTCTAAAAAAATAAAAAAATAAATAAATAAATTAAATAAAAAAATTAATAAATAAATAAATAAAAATAAATAAAATGCTGTAAATGTAGGAAAAATCAATGTATTCACAGACTGCTTCACTCATATTCTGTTAAATGCCAAGAAACATAAACATGTTACTTTAAAAAGTATTATGGTGGATTTATTTAAAAAATGGGAAAAAGACTGTGATTGTAAACTGAAAATATCGTACGGTGGATGTGACGATAAACTGTTTCACTGTCCGTGCTAATGCGATCGATATAAACATTACTTTTGGGTCAGGTAGGATATAAATTTTTGTGGATTGGCCTGCGGAAAAATACCTAAATCATAATGCGGTCCATGACTGAGGAAACTTTGCCCGTGCTTGCATTACAGTATAAGCTGTTTTATATTTCATGATGGTAGATTCATGCAATTAACTTACAAAACACTATTTTCTGGTGATAAAATTTTATTAATATGAAGCATAAAACCCATGGATATCAAGTAAGAATCTGTAGTTGTCCTTTAAGAAACCAACATGAGGACAGCTAACCAACCTGTTTAATAGGTGTTGACTGTTTGTTCTCAGCCTCTTGACTTACACCCACTGCATAACTGTAGTCCAGCTAAAACAAATGATATAAAAACTCAATGATTTCTTAACTCAACTGCCAAGTCACTATATACCTCAAATATGTTAACTGGTCTTATGAAAAAAAAAATATACAATTTGGGGAAAAAGTGTACAATATATGAGCTAAAAAAAATTGTAATTTAATGGAGTAAAAGCTCCAGAAAACGTGTGCAGTTTATTTTCTCAAGATACTGATGGTGATGACGATTCACTTGTACATTCTAAATTTCACACGGCAAATGAATATCATACCAAAGAAAGAAATTTATGTTACTTACTATATCCCCAAGAGTGATTTCCTGGTTGCTAATATGTGCTATGTCCTGGAAGATGAAAGAACAGATGACCATTCTGGGCCAAGGTGATGGAAGGTCCTGGAGGAGCTGCAGACAGTCCTGGGGATCACAATCTGCCAAACAATAAGGTTAATTCAGCTGGCTATACTGTATATCATATAAGCTGTCTAAGAATTCTCAAGGCATTCCTGTGAAACAAAAAAAACAAAACAAAAACACACAATAAACATACATTTTGATCTCCTCTTTCCTAGATGTGGAGACAATAATTAAAAAATTCAGGAGAACCTCAATCCTGACAAAGGTGTTAAGATATCATTAATAGCTGAAAATAACAAGTCAAGCAAAATCACCAGACAAATACAAAGTAGTAACAAACCTTTCAGATGAACACACAGTTCAGTAGCAATGGCAACAACAGACTCTGTCACTGGAGTCACTGGAATTATGCTGCAACTGTCACATCTCCATGTCACCTCTAGCAATATGGACACAAGTTGCTGAAAGAAGTAAGCACATATTACTTTCAATACAAATCTATGTTAACTGGGACAGTACAGTACTAAAAAAAAAAAAAGTACAGAAGTATAAAGTACTGTATACAATTTCTGTTTTAATGTAAAGATGACCTTTCAAATGTTGTGGTCAATTAAAGTAAGTCATTAAAGATAACAAGCACTACTAATTTCATTCTCTTGTAATCCTTTTCCTATTATATTACATGTGACTGGAACCTTGAGCAAACAAATGCTCTCCCTTCACTTTTTTCTTGCATTTACTCTTCCTGCTGTAACAGATGTGTTCAGCCTTGATGCTTTCACAACAACATCCCACGGTATCTATCCACTTCATTCCTAATATTCACACATCTTGGAACCACCTATCAAAGGCACTCCAATGTTACTCACTCACAGAGGAAATTTGACCATGTTTCATCAAAATTGAATTTAAAAACAAAGAACTTAACCTCTCAGTGCCTTGTGTGAAGTTTTCATAATGTTTTAAAAAAGAGGATATCAGGAGAAGCCTCACCAACATCAGTGTTTTACATCCATTTTCCACACTTGTGGGTATGCCATGGTTACTTAATGACAGCTGTTGTTAAAAACCAGAATGGATGTTCCTCTCTATCCCACTATAAACCCAGGGCACCAGCCAAAAAATGCAGACAGACCAGGAATGGGCAGCAGTTTGCCCCAGGCCACTCTCCAGCCCCCCCACCATCAATGTACCTCAGTTGCTCAAAGAAAGAAATGTAGTACAGTATTGTATTCACATCCCTGTGTACCCCCACCCCAGCCCAGGTGCTACCACCACCACATCAGGCCTACTACTCACCAGGACCCATCTTTGTACCAGTGGACTCCTAAAAGTACAGTGATTTTTTTCCATTATTATTATTTTATTTTATTTTTTCATTTGGAGGGTTGCCAGAAAGAGTGAAGAGCTTCATCTATGATGGTCCATTATGTTACTTAGGTGGCCTTGGTGATAGGACTTTGTCTTGCATTTGTACACTCCATAAACTATTTCCAATGAAACCATAATATTAAAAAATCATGAATGAATTTTTTTTTTACCTTTGGGAAGGAAACAAGCTTGCCGATTTGCATAATTAAAGGGTTAATAACAGTGAATGAAGGGATATGCTATGTGTAAGCTCTATTATTTCAAAAAATGGATTAAATGACTTGGCCAATATACATAAAGAACATAAACACTCCATACTGTATACCAATAAAAAAATAGAAGGAAAGTGATTTAACAAGCTAAACTACAGAAGAATCACAAAATTTCATAGATACAAAACTCTCTGAACACTTACACCTAAACTGTGCCTGATGGCCCGGGAAGCTGAATGCATTGATACCCAAAATTGTAGCAGTTGCCGACAGGGGTGGTTACTGCTACAGATGTTCTTGAAGACCCCCAAAATACCCGCTTAACTCAGCAGCTCATTAACTGCCTCCCTGTAGTTTAAGAATTTCTAATTACAGTTCTATAATTTCAGACCATATTGCTATTTTCTTATAACAGCCATATTTTTTATTTGGTGTCAGCTAAAACTTCAAGAAACTAAATTTTTTGGCAAATCATCTACAGATAGAAATGACTCAGTGTATTCAATGTTAGGGTAGATAATCTTACCTATGAGGCCCCACAGACCAACCCCTACACAATACTGTAAATACAGGTGTCTTCATATATCTTCTCTTAACCTTATCCCTACTCTTGTTCTTCTATCACCCAATTAAACCAATAGGAAGCATTGTGAACCAATATGAAGTGATGTGGACCAATGTGTGAACTGATAGGAAGTTCAGGAAACTCTACAAACTGCATGCAAGTTAAGGATATGACTAAGGATGACTATGCACATCTTGCCTCAGCTTTTTTTTTTACTGCTATTTACACTTGTCTTCCACCACACTCTGCATTATTTCCCATCCTTCTTTCATGGAGGCTTCTGAACCCACTGATTCATCCCAAGCAATATAGATAGAAATATAAAATAAATTATAATCCCAAGATCAACACTAAGAACAGCTATAACATTTGACATTTACCTGTTATTGCAGTGTTTCAAATCCTCCTTGAATAAGACACGAGGAACTGGAACAGTCTGAATGCATGTTCCACTTTTGTAGTGGTTTCCTCCTCATCAGACCCTGTCTGAGAACTGTCAGACTCTGAACTGACATTTTCCTTAAGTATTTCTATAATACTGTGCACAAATTTCCATGCCAGATAGAAACCAGTCTCTTCATTCTGTTTTAAAGAAATTATATTACAATTACTTCAGCTACCCCATACTATTATATCAATTAATATAAATGACCCTAAGTATGAAAAGGGATGAAAGTAAACAGAGCAAAATAAAGTCATTATAATGACCAACAATGCAGACTGCCACATTTGTAATGTTCTATCAGACAGAATAATTACATTATGGGACTATGTCACCTTGAAACCAATTGTCACCATTACTTTACGTCTAAAGACACATCTTAATGTTGAAACCAATGTCTAGCCACCTTCACAACTTTATCCTGGTGGTTTGTAGTCAGAGATGAGTGATGAAAAAGATTAAATTGGCTATGACTTTGACCTTTCTATGGTCAAAAGTCTGTCAACACATCACTGTGAGAGACTATCACCTGTCAAGCAGCCTTCCTTATATATATATTGTGTCTACCACAGTTTCAGATAAAACTGTCATAAAGGAAAGAATACATAGAATCAGAGACCAAAGTTTGGTCCTGTACTGTACTATACTGTACTATTTTCCATTATCAAAATACTGTATATTACAAAACTAATAAAATGCTTCACCATACCTTCATGGCTGACTTGAGGACCTTTAGATAATAGGCTCTCATGCGAGCATTAACGGGAGGATGCAGAATCAAAACACGGTAGGCAAGTCCTAAGGCACGGGAATGTACGATGCTGAATGGGGTTCGTTGAGAGACAATATCAGTAAGTGTCTGTTCTTACTCTTGCTGATGGGACACAACCTGACATTTTAGAATAACAACATGTATAGTAAACACTCTTTATATTGGACAAATCTATGCAAAGCACATTTGATTTTGTTTTTCCCTGGACACCCATAGTGCTATGTGACATTCCCATACAAAAGTTTCCTAATGAACAGGAAATAATATTAAATTAAGAGCTTAATGTTCTGCTTTTTGGAGAAATCCATAAATAAACTTAATGGATTTCTTTCTGACATATGTAGTTATTAACAGTGTCAACAGTGAAAAAAATTCCCCAAAAATTAGCCAATTTGTCGATCTATGAAAATTAGACAAGTGATAGTGTTTGGCGTGGCAAGTCTTGGAAGCTGCTTTCCTTCCGCTCCTCAACTAACTTACTCACGGGAAAGTCACTTGGCCACACCCTAGGTTTCTCTTCTAAACTCTGTATCTCAGTTATTATTTACAGTAAACAGAATTTAAGTGTATCATTGTCTTCTGAAGAATTTTACACATAAACCATATACTGTAATGAGTTTCTGTCAGACCAAAGTTGTCTGAGCCAGAAAATGACACACATACTTAAAGCAGCATAACTCAGGGATGCTCCAGGCATAGACCCAAAGCATATGGTGAAAGTAGGCCCAGTGACCCTGAAAAAGCAATTGTAAGGGCCTCCCTGCAAGCAGCCAAGAGAGAGTGCGAGCCCAGAACTAGAGTTGTCAAGTGAGGAGTGTCAGGGCAGTCACCAAAAAGGCCCACGAAAGGAAGAGTCCCACCCCAGAGACTTGAGATTGAAAGTGAGAACAAAATACCTATAATCAGTGGTCAGCCCAGATAGTTGTAGGCCAAAACTAGAGGTGCCCAGTGCTGTGTGTTTGCCAACAGTCAACGTATAATCCGTGATCAGCCATCAAGTGAGAGTATCCTTACTAACAAGGAGGTGATAGCGAGGTGAAACAAGCTGATATATCCCAGCAACCCGGCGATGTACAACCTACCATATGTCATACCAACGCAGTAAGTACAGTCACTCCTCGACTTACGAAGAGGGTTGGGATCCAAATCCAGGTCGTAAAGCCGAATTGGTCATTAAGTCGAAAATGCGAAGATAATACATAGAAAATCTAAAATGGGTGTCTCTTTTTCTTCTCAGCACCACAAAACTCTCACTTTTAAGCTTACAGCCATTTTAAAAGGAATTACAAACGGGAAATTTGCTGTAATAAAGCGAATCACTTACCGCCAGACTCGAAAAATACGAATTTGAAAATTTTGGTACGACTGGGGAGGTCCTGTGTCCGGGTAGTCGTAAGTCGAGTAGGTCGTAGGTCGAGGAGTGGCTGTACTAACTCTTCATGATGTGGCAAAGTGGAAAACCCAAGGTTCATGGTAGAGTGCCCTTTCTCTGATTTGTTGTGATTAGATGATCGTATTTTTGGTTTACTGAATACTATAACATATAACTATACCATGAGCCCCTCTTTTGATAACTACTGTAGTGTCAAGTATAACTAATGGTCAGTAAAGTGTAGTAATGTAGCTGTGTTTTAGTCTTTTAGAAAATGTCGATATTAGTTAACTCACAAATAACTTGTACTTAGTCTTATGTTTAGAAAATTCTCCAAGAATATATCTTATTAATACACATTATTGCAACGATGCTACATTTCACTTTGCAATCCCTCTTACTGTCAATTCTCACTATATCTTCATAATGAGTATAGCACTCATTATAGCCAGATTCAAATCATTACACTGTACATACAAAGCTACAGAGAAAATAGCACACCAAAAAGCTTCACAGTACTGTACACATATAAAGGAATTTCAATATAGTGATTTCACTTATACTTATCAGTATTCCCTCAGTTTTCAGAGCATTTAATTTCTGAAAAAGTGCCCATATATTTTACAAACTTCCCAGCATCTGATTTTTATTTATTTATTTATTTAATTTTTTTGGGGGTTGTCACCCACCCACATTAAGGCTTGGTGGGTGGGGGCGGGATTGAGCCATAAATAAATAAATAGAAAATAAAACAAACTAAAAGTGAAACTAATGATATTATATATGGTGTGTTGTCAAAGTAAGAGAAACAATTGAAACCCTGCAATTGTGAGCAAATGAGGCAGAAAGTTAGATCAGCAACCTGGGACTTGGTCACAATTTTTGTGATGCCATATGGCAGCAGGGTCTACCATTAAACAACACATTATGCTTCCAATATCTTCCCAGGCGGTAGTACCTCCCTGTTTGATAGCTGCCTACTACCTACATATAATATACTGTATAGAGGTAAAAGCAATTTGTAATGCTTAAACTAGCATAAAACTGTTTTCACTGCCTAAATAGCTGGGAAAGAGGGTGTATAAATTGCTAGGGGAGGGTTGGCAAAATGTTATGGTTCACCTGGTGTTAAACCTGTACTCTTGACGGTAACTACAAATGAGCTGTGTGGAGGAGGTTGTGAAAAAAGCTATAATGAAAGCAGCCCAACACAACACATACAGAAAGATACAAGCCACATTGTGGATATGAATCCATTTAACCATGATGTAAGGTGACAAAATAGTTATTTTTACCTGCAAAACTAATTTCTTCAGAAGTTCTCCAAACAGTTCATCATGTGGTCAAGCATAAGGTGTGATGTTCAAGTACAAAGACTCCAGCCCCTGTACAATAATTTCTTGTTCATTTGTGGTCATAATATCACTCCCATCGTATCTTGATTCTACACACTCGACTCATAATATGAAGTTTCCTGGATCACAGTTCTCTAATTTCTGGAGAGCAAATAGTACGAGAAGGGGAAAAAAACATTTGTTCACTGTCGAATTGTTCACTAATGTGCACCCGATTCACACCTTGAGACGCTCTCAAGTCACTGGCCGACTGGGTAACATTACCACAATAAAAATCATTGTAAGTTTTACTTCTTACAAATTGTACAATAAATCTCTCTAAGTCATCTTTAGTCAGCTTCAGCTCATGAACAGAGGATTCCCTGGATTTTTTAATGACTGGACCTGGTTTAATAACAAATATCCTTGCTGGTGATGGGTGATTTTTTCAAGTCCTCAGAGACATCCAACCATCTATCAATTTTGGGGCCAATATTAACACGAACCTCTTTCGCAAGCCATTCTAGGCAAAAGATGTACTTGTTTAGATGCAATTTTATGTGTATGAGGACTTGTGCCAGACAAGTTCCTCATATACACCTCTGTAGTTCTGGAGTCATTCTTACCTCCTGAATTTGAAATTGATTTATGCTTCTGACACATTGTACACACTTGAACTTCTATTACAAATTTCATTTTCTTTCATCTTTTCATTTTTCACCTTTTCTATTCGTTCTTTCATCTTCTTCTTCATCATTTCTTGTTCACTTTTCAACAATACATTTACCGGTGCTCTCAGTGGTTCACAAATGTTCTTGATCTCTTTGACAATTTCTACTTCATTGTCAGTTTCCACCATTTTTTTATTTTCCCTTTGTGTTTCATTTTGTCCAATATTTCTCAGAGCCCCCCCTGATCTGATTTCCAGCAAAATATTTAATACTGGTTGAATGCTTTTCTGGAGTGAACGGGAAGTGTTGGTATTTCCGATTTTGAGGTTTAGACGATACCTGGCTGACTGGGCAGATGGAAGACAATGAATTTCTAGGAGACTTTTTCACATAACGGTCCAAACTTGTCTGCTGGTAAGACAATGCAGAATGAATCTGAGGGAAAAAATAATAATATTTGTTACTTTTTAATATATTTATCAGTACAGGCACAGACCCTTGAAACTGGATCTCAGAAAACATGAGATTCTTAAAACTTTGACATTTTCTTTCCTGGATTAAGTTAAAATTTCTTCCCTTGCTAAGGTGTTTTGCTTCCACACACACAAACACTGCTGAATGTTTTACTTCTAAATTGATATGTAGTCACTTTGGCCAAAGACAGCTAACAAAGCCAAAAGAAGCTTGTTTCCTTGCAGTCCTTATGCCAGCAGCACTTAGTGTTCTTAGGGCCAGGCAGTTACCCATCCAACTACTGTACTGTGCTAATCAGACCTACTATTGCTTAAATTCAATTGATTGGACAAGAAGGGTGTTTCCAAATATGGTACTACCAACACAAAAAGGAAAGCATTGTTGTATACTATACAAATACATACTTTAAATAAAAAATACATTGAACACATTCTACTGTATACAGAAGTTAAGAGACTCTTAAGTGAGTTACATACATGGGTGTGTGTGTGTATACCTAGCAGCTTCTAGTGAGTCATGACATTTGCTAGAAGTATGAAGTTCATATATAATTATTTATTGTCTGATGGAATAAATGGCCCAATTCCTTTATTTTTTTTTTATTTACAGAAGTATTTGTATTAACCAATTATTTTTACTTTCACTCGTTAAATTAAACCAAAGATTCACGGTACTGTAACTTATGCCAGATGTTAAAGGTACTTGTCACATGGGCCTGTGAGAACATACAGCACCTGCCAGAAGTTATCTCAAACCTTTAATTTAATTTGACCAAAATAATTTCAAAATCTATGTGAAAGTAACAATACTGTAAACATTACTTTATTATGATAGATGAAGATTATTATGATATTTCTTCCATCACACAATAATTATTTATGAACTCTATATTTCTGGTAAATATCAAGGGACTAGAAGCTGCTGGGATGTACACTATTGGACTAAACTCTTGGACAGCCACACAGAATCTACACTAGTGACCTCTAGCAATGAGGAAAATCATAAGTTAAAACTATTATATATGATATAAATAAAATATTAAATTTAATAAGTCTAAAAATCAATTTTAGAATAAAATATTACTTTAAAAATCACATGCAGGTTAGTACCCCTATTGCATAAAAAAAATTCCTCATTGCCAAAGGTCACTAGTGTAGGTTCTGTGTGGCTGTCCATGACTTTAGTCCTAGAGTGTACATCCCAGCCGCTTCTAGTGTAGTGGATATTTCCCCTACAACTACAACTGCCGTTTGTCGCTGACTAGCCGATCTCTTGTTGAGTTCCCCAGCCAATGCCTCGTGGCCTGACAAAGCGGAGGTCGGCTATCAAGCCACGCCTACCTCCGCTATAATTAAGCCCTCGCCTCGCCGTGAACTCCCTTCTTCTTCTACCTGAGCCCTGCAACATGCAACACCTCCTCTGAGCAAGCTCCTCACCAACCAGCTCTCTCTACTCCACGCTTCTAACCACGCAGCAACTTCCCAGCACCAAACTGAACTGCACATCCAATACAATATATATACAGAAAACGTATTGTGAGTTTCCTTTCTCCAACCCATCCTGAGTGTGAGACAACATCACGAAACCCCACACTAGTCCCATGATTTTTAGCACAAATATAAAGTTCATAAATAATTATTGTGTGATGGAATAAATAGCCTAATAATCTTCATCTATCATAATACAGTAATGCATTACATATTGTTACTTTCACATTGCCTTTGAAGGTAAGTCACTGCATGGAACTCTGAATTTCTAAACAGACTGTATTAAATGTAATCTTTATTTAATGTATGTATACTGTACAACAAAGTTTTCCTATTTAAGAAGCACAAAAAAACAAACATTTAGATCTGTCTGTCTGTGTGTGTGTGAGCAAAACTTGAGGTAGTCTACTGGTAATTTTGGGGTAACTTGGATGACCAAGGAAGCCAGAAAATCCTCAAAATCAATTTGGTCTTGGCCCTAAGAGTTCTCATATTTGAGTGTCTACAGCTGTACATTATACAGTACTGCATTACATTCCATATATCATACATTTAAGATGTGGAGAAGTAGAAAGAACGAAACAAAAACTTTAGCTATTCTCCAGCAGTGACCATTCTATACATCATTATCACTGTTTTACAGCCATTTTCCATATTTGAGTGATTAACCAAGATTACCTGAATGGCTGGGTACCCAAATGCCATCAGGTAAATTTGAAGCAAGTTTTACGGTTAAATGCTTTATTATTGCTAAATGATTTTACAGTTTGAACTGATTATTATATTTAGGAATTCCAAGGCAGAGTTGCTACTTCCTAAAGTAATCAAATATTATCTGCCTACCTAGAGAACACAGGAAATTCAACATACAATATATTGAATGACAAATCTTTTATAATGACTTAGGTATCAAGTAGGTAAAGTAGTTTTTATTTACTAAACTTATCCCCTCATATTAACTGGTTAGGGTAAGAGTAACAGTAATAAGATAGAGCACGCAAGCATGCACGCACGCACGCATGCACGCACGCCTCATACACACACACACACACACACTTATCTTTACAACTATAATGGCAAATAAAAACAATTACAGTACAAGGTACCTTTGGTCGAGTGCACAACTTTTTGTTATTATTAATTGGGACCTCAAATATTGGTCGTTTCGTTAGACTGGAATCACAGCGAAGTACTTGGATATCTGCACCTGTTAACAGAGAAAAGAAAAAGTAAAATAAAACTAAGAAAACAAAAAAGTTAGCAAACTATCAGTACAGTAACTATAGTGCGTTTTTTTCAGCTGAGAAAAAATGCCCCGCCCCCTCCTCAAGAGTTACAGCTGATTGGCTGTTGCAACCCTTCCAATTTTGTCCTGAGTAATGATGTACAGTATTTCTAAATGAATTTATTCATAATCGTTGGGATGACCGTTTCTGACGAGAAAGATATCTAGCTAAATTATATAAAGATACATACCTTCATTATTTCAAACAGGAGCTCGAAGGAAGTTTATCAGAAGTATTATACATGAATTAACTGATAAACTCGGGTAACAAATTCACGCTTTCGGAGGATGCATTTCATATATACTGTAATTATTTTTACCTACAATAAGACATACTAAGACAAATTATATATCAGTAATAGTACATTATGCAAAAACAACATTTTAAAAGATCAGAATCACATTGAAATATTATAGGACCGTTAGCAGAAGCAGGAAAAATATGAAGTAGTTCGCAGTCATATTTCCCTCCTCTGCTGAAGGCCATGTAATATTTCAATGTGATTCTGATCTTTTAAAATGTTGTTTTTGTATAATGTACTATTACTGATATATAATCTGTCTTAGTATGTCTTATTGTGGGTAAAAATAAGTACAGCTCCTCCCCGACTTACGACGGGGTTCGGGATCCAAATCCAGGTCGCAAGTCGAAAATGCTTAAATAATACATAGAAAATCTAAAATGGGTGTGTCTTTTTCTTCTCAGCACCACAAAACTCTCACTTTTAAGCTTGCCAGCCATTTTAAAGTGAATTACCAACGAAAATTTTGTCAGTACACAGTGCAGTCACTAACGTTGGGAATCGAAAATACGTAATATGAAAAAATTTTGGTACGGCTGAGGCGGTCGTATGTCCGGGTGGTCGTAAGTCGAGTAGGTCGTAAGTCGGGGAGGAGCTGCATGCAGATACAGTGGTCCCTAGGTTAACGAACACAATTCATTCCAGAAGGTCGTTCGTTAACCGAATCCATTGTTTCAATGGGATATTGGGTAATTGGTTCCAGCTCACCAAAAAGTACATACAAAGTAAAAAAAAATGCAGTAAAGTACACTTGCTTTGAGGTGTGTATGTATAAGGTTCCTGGTTGATGATGATAATGGGAAATAGAAGTGGGGGTGGAGGAGAAGGGAAAAGAGAAGGAAGTGGGGATGTAGGAGAAATCACCTTTCAGTGGACCCATGCTTGATACCGTCATTTCACCAATAAAATTTTAAGTTCACTAGGTGTAATTCAAGATTATTTTCTTTAAATCAACACTGCACTGCACTATATATTATCAATATGTTAACTAAATTTCAGAATGACCAATAATTTCAATGAAAAATGCAAAAATATTCAAGACACCAACAAAATAGATATTCACTCCACTGTCTTCAAAGCCTAACTGACATCATGTGGCTGAGTCAAGCTGCTGATGGGGCACAAAAAAATAGTTCCCTGCACTGCATACATTATCAATATGTTAAATAAATGTTAAAATGACTAATAATTTTAATATAAAAAATGCAAAAATATTATAGAGCACAACTTTATTGATATTTACTCCACTGGAAACAAATGTAAACATAGAACAGATTACTGAATTGGCAGACTAGCCCATCAGCTGATCAGCTGATGCTCACAACAAAATGTGATGTTCGTAAGAATTTCGTTAATCGAATTGAAGATCCTTATGGAAGGTAATTCGGTAACTGAAATTTCGTTAACCGAACCGTCCGTTAACCGAGGGACCACTGCATATTAAATGCATCCTCCGAAAGCGTGAATTTGCTTCCCGCGTTTATCAGTTAATTCACGTATAATACTTCTGATAAACTTCCTACAGGCTCCTGTTTGAAATAATGGAGGTACCCGGTAAGTATCTTTTCATAATTTAGTTAAATATCTTTCTCCTCAGAAATGGTCATTATGAATAAACTCATTTAGAAATACATCATTACTCAGGACAAAATCGGACAGGTTTGCAACAGCCAATCAGCTGTAACTCTTGAGGAGGGGGCGGAGCATCTTTTCTCAGCTGGGAAAAAGCGAGCTATCGCCTTCTTTTTACAAGCAAATAGCACCAATTCAGACTTTACTTTTCAGGCTGAGCCATCTAATTTAACAAATACTCATCCCCCCTTAAGGGGAGTATCTGGTTAAGATACGAGGGGCCTTGAATATTGGCCGAATGCTTTGATATTCCTGTCACTAATTTTGGACAACATGTAGGTCAATTATAGCCCCCAAACTCCCTCCTCTGCCCCCTTCATTTTTGGCCTTTTTCACCCCTTTCTAAATTTTCAAGGTGCTTCTCCTTCACATGACATTGAAAAAATGGCATGTGATTTTCAAAAAATTTGTAGACCTACGTCAAAGCAAAAAATAAACTTATCATCCTATCATACTGAAGGACACCATGGATTCTCTAAACCATATAAATTTCAAGACAGTGGAGCAAATAATAATGAAGGAGAAGCACCTTGAAAATTTAGAAAGGGGTGAAAAGGGCCAAAAATGAAGGGAGCAGAGGAGGGAGTTTGGGGGCTAGAATTGACCTACATGTTGTCCGTAATTAGTGACAGGAATATCAAAGCATTCGGCCAATATTTAAGGCCCCTTGTATCTCAACCAGACACTCCCCTTAAAACACTATCCATCCACATGATTCACTATTCATCCATAAGTTCTCTATCCATCCATAAGTTCACTATCCACCCATTAGATTTATATCTATCCATAAGTCACTATCCATCCATAATTTTGCTATCCATCCTTAAGATTCCCTATCAATCAAGATCATTTCATTTTAAACTAGACAGGGAGGAACACAAGCAACCAACCTCACTGAAAAGGACAAATGAATTCATCAACTTTTGTTAACTGAAATAAAATTGCAACAAGGACATCCACATTATCTGGCTGCATCTTTTATTTTAGTCACTGAGTAGCAACAGTACTCTGTTCACTTTTAACATACCACTGTTTTTGTTGGGTAAACAGCTTTTGCTTTTCTTGTCCAGTAGATAGTCCCTCAGGTCTGATGGATTAGTTTTCTGTGAAGAAAAATCATGTATTAAGACCACAGTCAGGAAAAAAAATTAGTTTATGACAAAGAAACTGCCAAAGCACACACCTAGTACTGTGTATATTAATATTATAGTTTATATATTCTGTTGAACAGTGTGTGTGAGAGACAATAGAGTACAGGGTGTCCATAAATTATCTGACCCATTTTAAATATTAATCTTAAAAACATTTAAGACAACACAGAGCACATGTGAAAGTCTACTAAGATGGGAGAAAACCTTACAAGTTGTTTATCATGTTCAGGTGACTCCAGGTAAGTAACTAAAGCAGGAGAACCACTTCACAGTCAGAGTGAAAGCACCTCACAATCTATAAAATACTCCACAGTCAGGGCGAAAGCTTCTCACAGTTGTTAAAGCAGAGAAAACACCTCAGTCGCTAAAACTGAGTCCAGTACATATACTGTACCTGTACAGTATAGTACAATACATTGTGAAGCTTTGTAATTTCCTGTAACTGTAAAGGGGGAAAACAATGATAACATAAAAATAATGATACTGGTTGCTGCTGCTCACCTCATGTTCACAACAACACAGCCAAAGCACTTTTCAGTCATAAAAAAACATAGCAAAAATCACTTCAGTCACTAAACACATAAAATATGTGACTTTGGTGATGTCCTCTCACTGTAAGGTAAAAAAAAAAAAAGTCTATGCTGAAAAAAAAAAGATGATGGCCGATAAACATTGAGCTGCATTTCTTACACACATGTGACAAAGAAGAAACAATGGTTGGACTGTTGTTCACCAGATGACCACGAGGCAGCATTCGGGTAGATGATGCCTCAGCTGACAAATGAAGTGAGTGATGTGTTTCATATGATGATTTGGCGGGATGACAAATATCGTTCATGCGAGTTTGTTTACACTATAAACAGAGAGCTGGTCTTAATATATCAGCTTCGTTAATGTGAATTAATGTAGAATAGGACATTATAAATAGAAGTTTACCTGTACCATACCTGGGAATCACCATCACTTTAAGTTTTCTTACCCTCTTTGTCTGCATTATCCTTAACTTTCTTACTGTTCATTTCATCCTCCACAAGACAAAACAAATTGGAATGTTTAGCTGCTATACAGTACCTGTCTTCTTCACCACCAGCCTAATCGGGGCACTCTCTTCACTACCGTACTTTCCCCTGGTTGGTGTCTTCATTTTTCACACTCCCCAAGTCTCAGATTTTCCTTCTTCAGCCTCTCAATCTCTCCCTTCAGCCTATAATCTTCACCCATAACCTTCAGTGTGGCATAGAGCTACTCTCAACTAACACTAGATATGGTTACCACCGCTAGTTATTCCCTGGGAGCTAATTTGCCGTGGCCTTACATGGAGAGGTAAGAAAATGATATTCTATCTATAGTAAAAACCCCCAACACCAAACTAATTAAGCCACAGCAATGTCATTAATCAGACGGAATCCGTTATTCAGACGTCCATACAAGCAGGAAGGTACAGTCAGCCAAAGATGCACCGACCCCACCCTGGGTCTCGTACTCGCAATTTTACCTGGCAATACAGTACAGTATTTGGTACAGTAAAGGAAGGCTGTATGTCAAGGTGATTGTGATTGGTGGATCTGTTTTTGGCTGTATCACTGTCAGGATAAATATTAAACAAACCAAAGGTAAAATTTTTATAATAATAAACTATTCATTGTTATTTAAGGTCAAAAGAAGTTTCCAAATGTTCGTATATTTGTTTAAATAATGAAGAAAATTTGATGTGAGAATCTTGTGGCAGCTGTGGTTGTAGTCCACTTGCCAATTCATTAATATAATTTTCTTACCTCTCCATGTAAGTTCACGGCAAAGTTATTAATACAGGTATTATCAAAGTGGGTCAGATAATTCATTAGAACCCTGTACTGTACAGGTATATTTATATGCATACAGGGGGTCTACGACTCATGAACGTCCGACTTACAAACACTCGCCGATATGAACGAGGTTAAACTTTAAATTTACCGTATTTTATTTACTGCATTTGGTTACAGTATTCTATTTCTTCTTTTCTCTTAAATTAAGTGATTTTAGATGTATATAAGGACTTTGTGGGATTTTAAACGTTGTTCTGTAAATACGGTATGTACATAGCATGTGTTCCAACTTATGTACATTTCCGACTTGAGAATGTCCTTAGGAACGGAACCCGTTCATAAACTGGAGACCCCCTGTATACTTGTAATGTATGTATTAAACAGATGGATGCAACCCTACTGTACTTACCAGTATCAGAGTGTCCTTGATGTAAGTAATACTGACAATTGGAGTGACACCTACTAGTTCCCTGATTGTGGGACAAATTGCTTTCTCACTGATCACCAAATCCACTTTTGATATTTCAGACATGGAAACCCCTTCAGCACCCCCAGCTGCTACAATCCTGTCAGAAAGGACATTTTTAATCTCAAAAAGTGTAGAATAAAATAATAATTTCATGTCTAAAACCAGTTTTCACGACTGATGCCTACATAAAAGAATTAACATAGCATCTACAATAGTGTTGGTTGCCCTTCTTGTTTCTGGAAAAAACATCAGAGATAAGCCAAAGGTGGCCATTACAGCATGTCCTTAAAATTTGTGGGGGTTTGGGTCTCAAAATGGCAGCGAATAGCCAAATCTGCGAACATCGTTTGTTTAAAAAGGGGGAGGGGGTACATTTTCAATCGTGTGCAAAACAAATTTATATTCCCTTTATGTGCTTGCCCTAGGACAATTATTTCTTTTACCTTTATTGTATACGTGTATTTGTGTGTAGACACACACAAAAAAAAAATAAAATAAAATAAAATAAAATAAATAATAATGGGAAAATCCTCACAAACAACAAAATGTATCGAAATGTAGAATAAATGTGCGAGTCTACCCTTAAGTCAACATCATGCTTTGTTATCAAAGTTGAGTTGGTTGGGTTGCCATCTGGCAATTTTTCCTCATAAAAATTACTGTCACTCGAACGAATGGCATCTAAACGCCAGCTGGGTTGATACGTAGATCAAACTTGCATTATTTCTTTAGTAGTTATCTAGCCAGCTCAGCAATGCAGGCAATACAGGGTAAAGAAACTACTTGAGACAACTGTACATATCATTTAAGGTAAATGAAAATAAATCTTTATTTTGTATAAATTTATTGTTTTTGTCCTTATTTGAGTTATTTAGACATCATTTAATCATTATAGCAGCAGGATATAAAACTTGTTTGGGCACTTCAGGAGCTCAGGAACGGAACCCATTTTCCCCATAAGTTATTAATAGCAATATACGATCAATCACTTATTGATAGTTTTTTAAGGTCCCTAACCCCATTGTATAAAGGTCATTGCATGTACTGTAATTGAGAAAAATATTATACAGTATTATGCAGGTATCCTAGAGAACACTCACACATTGCTCCCCTTTGATAACATGAGATCCCTTTTTTATACAATTATTACAGTACAGTCAGTTCTGCTATAACGCGATAGTTGTGTTCTGGTAAAACATCGTGTTATAGAAATTCATGTAGTAGAAATAACAGGGCTTATGGAGAAAATAGGGTTAGGTGCAGATTACTACTCGAAATCGAAAAAAATTTAGTAGTTAGCCTAACACAAAGGATAGCACAGTCTAAATAAATGTTACATTCATATCTAATAATGAAATCATACAGTAAATGTAACACTTTACCTTGAAAAAATATGAATATAACTTGATGGGGGAGAAGGGTGATTTTGAGGTAGATAACATCGAGCTTCTCTTCAAGGGTTATAGCCTTTCTTTTACGATCATCACCAGGAATGCGATCACCAGAACGCTTCTTGGAGATATTCTTCTTTACCATATTCACAGTTAATACCACAAAATTGGAGAAATAGTAAGCAAAAATCGCGTTACAGCAAACAAGCGTTCGCGTTATACAAATATCGTTCCTCTATTCATAAATCGCGTTAGAGCCAATTCGCGTTGTCAAAACACGCGTTATAGCAGAACTCATTGTATATCGTATGGCAGTTACAAAGTACAAGAGACAGCAAATGAGGGCCATTCTATGTAGATTTTCACTCATCACCCACACCAAGATGTTGAAAGTTTGCAAGAGCATTATAAAAAATACATCTGTGAAGTATATATGGAATTACTGTACAGTACTCTGAATTTTATGCTTGATAAACCTGTACATTGGTTTCCAGAAGAGACTGTGAATATGTATTAGCAGCCAGTAGTGTGAGGTGAAAACAATCACTACCACACAATTTTTGACACAGGGTTGTACTTACATCAATGTGCTTTATCATGACAAAAGAAAATATTGTACAGCAATTATCAAGTAAATACAAACAATAAATACAGAGAAAACATTCAGAATATAACCCTACAGTCACCATAACTCTGACTTATAGATGCCACACAAAGTCTAGAATTTTTGGTGTAATAATTGAATTCCTACTCTTAAGTTTTTTAGATTACTACTACAGTTAACCCTCACTTTACGCGGTCCCGCATTCCGCGTTTCCACTTTTACGCGGTGCCTTGCCAGAACCTCACGTGCTCAAATTACGCGGTCCCGCATTCCGCGTTTCCACTTTTACGCGGTGCCTTGCCAGAACCTCACGTGCTCAAATTACGCGGTACGTGAACCCCATTACGCGGAGAGTGTCCGGCGCGACGCTATTTTTAGATTCGCCCCACCCGCCACCCGCCCGCCTGCCTGCCTGTGCTCCTCGCCTCCTCCCTCCGCTTGGGCAAGCGGCGCGGGACCCTCCGGGTTACATTAACCGCGTAAAGTGAGGGTTAACTGCATATTTATGGTTCATGAGTTAAGATATGAATTAAATTAAGAGCAACTTTTCCAGGAAGCACAAGCAGTTACTACCAGTACACATCTTTAAAATCTTACCTCTGAAATGCTTTTGTCATTCTTGGATTTTCCAACTCAATGTATACAGTCCATCCTGAGTAAATTCCAGATCCACGTTTCTCCTTCCACTGCCGGCAATACTTGGCCACTTCACCATGGTGTTTTAACTCGTAAGCATTCTCCTTGACCCACCGACCTTGGTCAAGACTCGCTTTGACATATGCAGGCTGTAACAACCACTTCCCTTAGGTAAAAAAAAAGAAAACATAATCTCGATTTCTATCCATGATCTTACAGACACAAATCAATTTTTCTGTAAAGGTAAAAACATACACCGTGCATATCACAAATAAAATAGTGAACATTATATCTTCAGCAAGAAAAAGATATAAGGGCATGAATAAGGCTGATATTAGTGCAACATAACAACAAACTGACAGCAAAAATATGAAAATTACTGTAAATTGTGAAGTGTAAATAACATTGAAAAATACAAAGACAACTACTAAAGAAGTATCGACATGTTGAATTACTAGAAATTGGAAGGGTCTTGAGTAGATACAAAAAAACATGGAGAAAACTACCTAAGTGATGGATAATAATCATACAAGAAGTGTCTTGATGGGGCAACTACCTGTACGTGAAATACAACTACCCTGTATTACTGAACATGGTGTAAGCTCCCTGCACATTTTTTTTTCTAAACAAAACAATGGCCATACATCTGACAATAAGGATGAAAAATCTTCATTTTAATCCTCGACCCTTTTCTCAAGTTATTGAATGGAAACAAACTTTCATTCAAAGGTAGTGTACAGTACTGTAATGTAATACCATATTGCCCCTCCCACACATCAAACCTGTGCACTGTCGTGGGTGCATAAATACATGAAAGGTTTTGTTCCAGAAAACATTTGTACATCGACCATTCATAAATGGAAGGATGCCCATACAGTGCTGAAATCCATCACTTTAATATGAAAAAATAAAAAACACTCATAGTTACCTCCTGCAAGAGCACCGAGAACTTTTTCGGTAGCACATACTTCTTTGGCAATAACATGCGTACACAACGATGTGAATTTGTTCTTGGAGCGGTCCTCTATCGTGCCGCCCAAAGACTCTATGCTTCTTCGAAGAGCATACACCTCTTCTTCGTTAGTAATCCCCGAGATGAGGAACCTACGAAGGTTCTTTGTTACAGGAGTGACTGCAATGATGTCCATTACAGTGCCTAAAGTGACCTGAAATATAAAAACAATATAGTAATATGAACATACAGCATACAGCACTGTACTGTTAAATAATTATACACTGTGAATCTTTTTCATGCATGCATGCATCCCACCCACAGACATCCAATGTACTATACCGATAGTCAATTTTACAAAGTCAATAGTGACATGCTACAGCAACACTCACTAAAATGTTATATACATGGTAAAGACTTATAATAACTAACTTAAATCCCAGAACTTTAGCCTCACCTAGAGTCAATACAGTTGTTCGATTCCTCATCATCAATAAAGTTATAATAAAAAAAGTATCAAAAAGCCTGACAGTTAAGACCATTGGTGACCACGGCCCACATCCTACGTGGGCCGAAATTACTGAAATGGGCTGAGATCACCACCGTAACTGGGCCGAGGTCACTGAGCCGGTCACCAGGGGCCGACTTCACCTATATCCCAGGTTAATTTATGAGTTAATCAACAAATTGTACCTTAATATTGAGGTTCATATACATCAGCAATGGCGAGGAGGAATTTGTGTAAGCGTTCACCATCATTTAGGAAACGTCTCTTGAAGAGGGATTCAGCGAGGTAAACAACAAAAATGACACCGGGAGGAGCATTGTGAAGTGGGATAAAGTAAGTAAAAAAATTCCTAAAAAAATACTTAAATTTTAATAGAAAGTTGTTGTTTCTTTTAATATACTTAATATCACCAAAACAATAAGTAGAGCAAAAATAAAGAAAATCAACAAAACTTCTGGTGGTAGCGCTTTCGTAAACCTTTACCCATTATGCGGTAAATATTTACGAAACTGTTGTCATTATAAGTTGTTTGTTGATTTTCTTTATTTTTGCTATGTACATACTTATTATTTTGATGATTGTAAGTACATTAAAAGAAACTACAACTTTCTATTATATTGAATTTTTTATTTTATTTTTTTTATTTTTTTTTCATTTACTCTATCCTATGATCTTAAATTTCTTGTTAGTGGGAAAATTACTGGGTAAAAACACTGATGTTATGGCATTAAAATTATATCTCTGGGTGCATTTCAAACACCAAAAATCATTTTCTTACCCTGAGACGGTCCATTTCACAATTCCCGTCCCGCCGCCATTGATCACTTCCTCTCCAATTGTATAAATTTTGGTCCATTATTACTGATCCTTTTAATAAAATAATTATGCATCTTTATTAAGTTCAGAATTATGTAAATGCCACTTTATTCTTCTTTTGTTTATTTATGAAATGCATTTTCTGTTTTCTTTCTATCATCTATAGTTTTTCTCTTTTTTTATTATCAAGCAATAAATGATGTAATTGTGCCATATTTGTACTTTTACACGATCTTTTAGCTGATTGAATTCTCGTCATCGTTTTCTACGCCGTTAACATTCGTCACAATTCTCTATGAACTGTGTGTCCTCCCACTTAAACGGTTCCCCCAAGGGAAGGGTACATGACGTGATTATTGCGTGTTAGAGCATCTCGTATACATAATGTTGGCCTGCGGTGGTTGTGATTGTTCTTAACGTGATTTATCACACCTATTTCTTGACAATTCTCATTTGTTAGCTTTTATTTGTGACCATGTTTTAATTAAGAACATTTGTAAATGTTCCAAATGCAGAAGGAACTTACACATTAACAAAAAATACCAGTTTGAATGTAATAAGCGCTCCTACGCATTTGTCCACAGACACCATAAAATTAATCAGTGTATAAGGTAAGGTGTTTAAGATTTTTTCCTTCATGACAATAGTTAGGTATGGTGTTCTAGGTTCTTTTCCTTATGATAGGGTTAGGCTGGTTAGGTTAGGTTAGGTAGGCTTTCCTAGGTTCTGTGGCTTAGTGCGATTTGGTTTATATTTTTGTACACACTATTAGCATAATATTAAACACATAAATGCACACGATAATGCATAGTCCGGTTTTCCGGGCGTGGGTTAGAGAAGAGGCTATTGAGCTGGAGTCACCTGTGAGTATCTGTGAGTAGTTTGTTAGGTCAGGTTCTAATAGGTTCTATGCTTTATCATTTTCATTCCTGTGTTTAACATCATGCTAACAGTGTAAAAAAAAATAAAGCAAATCGCACATTTCCTTCAGGTGATAAGTTTTGTAAACCTTTACCCATTGTGCTTTGTTTCAGTAACATAGTTGCATTCTGTACCTTAACACAAACTTTGAATGTACACTTTTATACATAGCAGTTCACTACAGTATGCAACATCTAAAAATATGTATAAGCTACACCAATGCCCAGCATAAAGTGCTACCACAGCAAGGAAATTATCCCCAGGAATATCTGAGTCAGGTGTAAGTCCCGGGAGTTACATTGTAGTTAATGGTAAATTTTATACTGTACAGTATAAGGAACATATACTCTACATCAACCTCCACTGGCCAACAGCCTAATGTCTTCCAATAATACCCATTTTGCAATCACTGAGACTATCTAGAGTCTTGAAACATTACTTTAACATACTTTAAGAGATACATAAGCCATCAACAATACCTTATTCACCATAAAATGTCATTATCACGAGGAAATAAACAACCTTGAAAAAGCATCATCCCGCCAGTTTGTTTTCAATTCACACCAACAGTCACAAGGTTACCACACCGGGCTGCCCACCAATATTAATATACAAGTTTTTATATCAAGTTTCTTTGTGAGATGTATCGATTTTTTTCTTCAGTATAATATATTCAAAATCTATCCATTTCATTTAATATGTTAAATACTTGGGGCCCTTAAATATTAACAGAACTATCCACTTTCATTCTAGTGAGTGATGTTGGCAACAGTCGCACGAGTGGAATGGGCAAGTAGATAAAAACGTTCAAGACAGATTGCCACGAAATTTAAAAAGCGCGTTTTTAATTGCGTTTTTTTATCAAAATCTCATCACCTATCAGCTCTCTAGTCATTTGGGTGGTTGGTCTGGTCTTTGTTATGAGCTTTATTATTCAGGAGGAAACCAGAAAAGTGCGATGTTTGGAAGTGACAGGGCGGCACTGGGCTTGGTGCGTTAGCACACAGGGTGGTGAAATGAGTCTATTGTGGCATCATTAAGGTGTTAAGGTACAAGCACTGCCTGCTCCCTTTCGCTTTCAGCTACCGCTGCTGGCTAGCCCTCGTGGCGAACAGGGAAGGAGCTTGCATAAGTCTTCCCCTGCCAATACACAGCCTCTCCACCATCGACCAGAATCGACCCAGAGGAATGTGAATTCAGTATTGCTGGATATGACTCATTTACGAACCTTTCTCAAGAAACTTGCAAGAGGGGTGTGGTTATCTATGCTAGGCAAGACCTTAGAGCCAGCCAGGCGAGGGTACAGGGAGAGAATGTTTTTGAAGAGTCCAAGTGGTGTAAAATTAAATTAAAGGGAGGGGACTTACTTATCGTCGGGTGTATCTACAGATCCCCAAACTGTGGCCCACTAAATCAAAGGAACTTAAGAGCCTTAATCGACAACGCGGCAATGCTCAACCCTAGCCACCTCCTTATCATGGGGGACTTTAACTATGGCGACATCGACTGGAGAAACGAGTCCACCCCAAATGACTTGAATAACCCTGCTACTCTTTTTGTAGAAACTCTGAGAGATAATTTTCTGTTCCAACATGTTAGAGACCCGACACATTACAGAGGGGAGCAAACACCCAAGCCACTTGACCTCATCATAACAAATGAGGAGGGTATGGTGGCCAAACTGGAACACCTTGCCCCAGTTGGCACCAGTCACCATATAGTGTTGTCATTCAGATTTAACTGTTACCTAGTCCACGATAAGGCCAGGCCAAGGTGCAAATATTACAAGGGAAATTACAATGGGATGAGGAAAGAGATGAGAGGTATCAACTGGCCTGATTCTAGGTACAAGAACGCAGACACTACGCTGAATATGATAACTAGTAAAGTGACCGATTTGATCGATAAATATATACCCGAGACCAAACCCAGTGCTTCTAGGAATACGAGGGGATCCCTACACATGAACCATGCGGCGGTCGACAGAATTAAGAAGAAAACCCAAAAATTCAAGACGTGGGTTGGGTCAAACGATGAGCAAGACAGGAGGATGTATGCAAGAGCCAGAAACCAAGCAAAGATAGAGTGTAGAAGGGCTGAAAAGGAGTTCCAGAGGCTGGCTGCAAGCGAGGTCACGTCAAACCCAAAGGCGTTTTACCGCTATGCAAAGTCGAAATTGAAAACGCGAGTAGGAGTATCAGAACTGAGGCTTGAGGATGGTAGTTACGCAGATTCTGACCAGGATAAAGCTGGGGCATTGAACAGCTTCTTTTCCTCGGTGTTCACAAGAGAGGATGCAATTAACCTTCCTGCGTTTGAGGACAGACGGTTCGACACAGCACTGACCCACATTGTGTTCACAGAAGAGGGTATTAGAAATAAACTATCCAGACTAAAGGTCTATAAGAGTCCCGGCCCTGACATGGTGCATCCTAGAGTGCTAAGAGAGTTGTGCAATGAGCCTGCCGAGCCCCTGAAGATCCTGTTTGTAAATGCCTGGATGAACAAATGGTCCCCAGTGAATGGAACAACTATAGACCGGTGAGCCTGACCAGCATAATATATAAAGTACTTGAGAGTATTATCAGAGATGCTGCAATGGAACATCTAATACGAAACAACCTTGTAAAGGATTGCCAACACGGTTTTATGCAGGGGCGCTCCTGCTTAGCACAATTGCTCATTGTGTTGGGTATTTAGACCCATATTCTGGAACGGGGTGGTAATATCGACAATATTTACCTAGATTTTGCCAAGGCTTTCGACAGTGTACCCCATGAAAGGCTGAAAATCAAACTGGAAGGGTACGGAATTCGGGAAAATGTCCTGAAGTGGATAGAAGACTTTCTACATGACCGCAAGCAGTGTGTGGTGATTAATGGCACGAAATCGTCATCCGTACCTGTCACAAGTGGGGTACCACAGGGCAGTGTATTGGGCCCGCTGTTGTTTGTTTGTTTCATAAATGACATGCCTGACGTTGTACACTCCTCCATACAAATGTTTGCCGATGACGCCAAGTTATTTCGAGAAATTAAGAACCAAGCTGACTGTGAAGAGCTGCAGAAGGACCTCTGTGGGCTCCAGGAATGGTCGAAGAAATGGCTGCTGAGATTCAATGTCACGAAGTGTAAGAGGATGCACTAACGGTAAGGAGGCGTATCATATGTCCCAACGGGATGAAGAAACTGCACTAGTTGAGACTGAATGTGAGAAGGACCTAGGTGTGTATGTTGACAATGAGCTAAAGGTCTCGGGCCATTGCAAGAAGAAGGTAAACCAGGCAAATAAATTATTGGGTCTTATAAGAAGGTCGTTCAGATATCTAGACGGTCCGTCCCTCGTAACGATCTTCAAGAGTGAAGTGCTTCCCCATCTGGAGTACTGTCACCCCGTGTGGTCCCCGAGATATGCTAGGGACTGTCAGTTGGTTGAAAATTTTCAAAGGAGGGCCACTAGACAGGCGCCTGCACTTCGGCACCTCAGCTACCCTGAGGGATTGGAGCGCCTGAACTTGCCTAGCTTATACTACAGACGGGCAAGAGGTGACCTAGTTGAGGTGTATAAGCATCTCAGGGGGCACTACTCAGTTGAGTGTCCTTACTTGGAGCTGGTGGACGCTCGCCCCACAAGGGGTCACAGCTCAAGATTGTAGAAGCCGCAAGTCCAGAAAACTGTGAAGGCAAACTTTTTCGGAGTGAGAGTTGTAAACTCTTGGAACAATCTACCAGAGAGTGTTGTGACGGCACCGAGTGTGAGCTCTTTCAAGACAAGACTTGACCAACACTGGAGCGGGTTCAGGTACATTCAGGAGCCGATGCATGCCCAGTACTTGCCAACAGTGTGTGACAGAAACGTGACCGATCGCCCAAGCGGCTAAAGAGCCGATCAGTGAAGAGGATAAAAGTAAAAAAGTAAAAGTATACAACCAAGATTAGTACACCAGGCAAGACTTGGTTACACTGGGCTGACACTGCTGGCTCTGGTGTTTGTGTACTACGCAAACAGCTGAATCTCGTTCGCTAGTATCGCCGGGGTAGACTCGGTGCAGTATGTCTTAGCACTGTTTTCCCTGGGTGCGCCTGTACTCAGATTTTAATCTCGCCATATTAAAGACATCCTTCAGTGAACATCTTGGGTGTAGGCAGCTACCGATCCCCGGTAGCTGCGGAAATTCATCTACAAACACTGTGCCTGGAGATTGGAGGAGGGACGCGTCAAGAACTCGTTTAGAAAACCAAACTCAATCACAAACAATAATAAGTTTGGCAACGACACAGACAATATTTACGTTACGTTAATTCTTACTTGGCACATGAGAATTTGACTATGTTAAAGCATGAACACTGATATTCACAAAATTCAAATGAGTTAAACTGACTTAATATGGCAGCATGAGACATATCTACAAACCTGGAGATACGATGAGGGATACGTCAAGAGTGACGCTGTCCCTCGTGCACGCGGTTATATTAGAGCTAATTGGAAAGTCAGGCATGCCAAACAGGGCAATTCACGCATTGACACAATTTTCATTTAAATCAGTTGCTGTCCATTCGGCTATGAAAATCAGTGTTCTGGGTAGGATGATTTTTATCTGTCTATTGTTACAATATAATCAGGGGTTGAGCTTGCCAGTCAAAAGTGAAATGGACGCAGAATGTCCAAGCTGACAACGTCTTTCTCACAACATAATCAAAATTTTAGACAAGGGCCCTCTATGGGTATACGTTAGATCTTGGAGATAAGACTGACACATTCTTTTCAGGAGATTAATTACTTCCTAAAATATAAAACTGACAATAATTTCAATACAAATATCAGATTCTGTGATGATTGGGAATCAAAATGATCTAACTTCAGTATCAGTTGGCAACTCCTGGCATCTCTACGGACGGGTTCAGGTTATTTCTCACTTTTACGGGCAAACTCTATTCAAACTGATTTGACAATTTTACTAACAGTAAATACAGTCGAAGCTTTCAACATCACTCACAAGGGCTCTTGAATGTTTCATCTGTAATCTGACATATCTAACTTAATCTAACATGTACGACTTCAGTTGCAATTTCTAACTTCATGACATGATATGAGATACTAAGGAATATCAGAGTCTCTAAGGTACATGACACAGAAAACTAAGAACTCAGGCGTCCTGAAGCGATAAGAAAATGGAAGTCTAAACTGGGGGACTCAATAAAGAAGTTACAGCAACATGTTTTATGGGCTATTGAGCGCAATGTGAATCGTCTGCTTTTACGTTAACTAACATGTACGACCGTGATCAGTGCATGGTGTCTCCGTCCCATGTACCTTACATGCCATACAACAGCTAACCCGCCAACTCGTAAATGATTGCCAACACAGTTTTATGCCGGGGCGCTCCTGCTTGACACAATTACTCAGGATATTGGATATTTGTACCAAAATTCTAGATCAGGTTAGTAATATCGATAATATTTACCTGGATTTTGCCAAGGCTTTTGACAGTGTACCCCATGAAAAGCTGAAAATTAAACTGCAAGGGTACGGGATTCGGGGAAATGTCCTGGCGTGGGTAGAG